CAAGTGCCTAATTTCAAGAATCAAACAATCATTTTGCCTGTTTTCATCTGTCCGGGTGCCAAATGCATTGCACATCAAAATCTATATGAAACAACGAAAACAGCGTCATCAAGTTTATTTTAAGTCCAATCAAAAAACTAAACAAATTAAAGTTTGTTGCGAAACTAAAAGCAGAATTTCAGTAACAAAATGGAAATTAAGTGGGTTGTGTGCAACGGTGAGATTTCGTAAACCGTGTGTATCTTTTTACCTCCCTGAACGTTTAATAAACTTTTGAAACTTCCTTTTGGGAATCGGTTAAAAATAAATTTCGAAAACACAAGGCAATTCGATACGTTGGTGACCCACATTTTTATCGATTCAAGGTACTGCCAAAAACTACTCTTTCTTCGATTTGGTTCGGTTCGCTTCAGTTTTAATCAATCGCTATTTTACACTAGTCCGATATAACTCACCAGCTAACAATATTATATATTAGTGTTGAATCCAATTAACATACGCTCGACTGCGTATACGCGTTTACATGTTAATTTGGCGTTTAGTTCCTTAGAATGGCAATTTATTTTTGTTGTTCAATCACCTTTCTCCCTCTCTTTCTCTTTCACTCTCTCTCAGTCTCTGTCTATCAGTCATTTTGACAGCTATTGAACCACATAAGATTTTCATTAAAATACCATATAACAGATATAAATCCACATCAAGCTATTTATTACTACATATGTTCATTAGTGTAATGCACGCATAGAAACACACGAACCGCCCACTTTACTACGCACCCATGCGAAAACCTCAATGTCTTTCTCTATCGCTCTGTTGTTCAAAACCAGCAAACAAATGGTCTGTTGTCGGGTCGATGGCGGACGAAACAATTGATTTGGTTTTGTGCATTTGAGGACAAAGACCAACAACGATAATGGGATGACCGACCATTTTACGATAGATTTGCTTCAATCTTTTTGCATTTCCATTTTGGTTTTTGTGGCAAATTTTATGCAAACAGTCTGAGTGAAAGCATTTCACTTACAGAGCCGAACGGGTAGCAAAACAATGCTGGAATGCGCCTAGAGAAGTGATTCTGATAAAAGTTATCATTTGACAAATATGTTTCCGCAAGACAAATTACGGTGGGCACTTTGATTCGAATTGCCCGTTATCATCGTCATCGTCATCGTCATCGTTGGTATTATTTGTCGGGCGGCGGCCTGCTAATAGCAACATTACCGGCGACACACACATGAATGAATACCGCTCTCAAAAAGAGAACGATATTATGAAATCGTTCAAAAATTATGTGCAAATTTCTTGAATTGTAATACGATTTTATGTGAATACATAAAAAACACGAACGAAAATTGAATCGGCCAACAATAATAATGACAATGAAGTAGTCGCTGCTGTTGCTGCGGCTTACGTAAATCTTTTTTCACAATTAATAGAAAAGACACTGCCGATGCGTAAACACAAGTGTGTCTTTGTTGTGTGTTTTTTTTTTTGCTTGGTTTTCGTTTTGTTTTTACATTATTTCCTCTGCAGTCCATTAATGAAACATATTTAGTAAACGAATATTTGGCGGCGTTCGTACGTTTACAAAAATGATATGAAACATACGTGGACAAAGTGACAATGGTGTGTATTATGAAGTACGGTACGAGCGCAAAATGAAATCCACTCAAAGGAAACAACTGAAATGGTTCGATTCGAGCACGATTTTGCAAAGCAGCAACAGCAATCTGGTGTCAATTCATATGAAAAACAGTGTCAACACAATTGAACTGCAGTATATTTCACCTGATTATTTCTTTCCCTTTGGTGCTCAGTTTTTTTTTGGTACATTTCGAAATGGAAGCATTTCTTCTGTTTGTTGCAGAATTTTTCGTTTGTTGTGTTTCGTTTCAACGATTCATTCAATATTTTACTGTTTCTGATGAAATTTTGCAGAAAAAAAAACACAACACAAAAATATAAAACCGGAATTTCATTTTGTGTGTGTGCACGCGTTCAATTTTACCCATTTCATTGTTTGTGTTCTTTTTTTTATCATTTCCAACTATCTCTTCTAGTCGATGGTGAACCAAGAGAAATCCAATTTTGGGTTGCTAATTCCAAAGGCTCCAGTTACTTCTCGTTGGCCGTTCATGGACAAACACTCTTCAGGTAAGTTGTTTTTCCTTCCATCTTTATCTATATATGCCAAATGCTTGTCCCAAAACACAAAATCGATTAAGTGGAAAAGAAAAGAAGATAAAATCTGTTCAAAAGCGAATCGTGTTGGTGTTGGCACGATGGAATGGAATAAGGTTTATGTAAAGGGATTTTGGTATCGTTTCGTTTCCCTTTCAATCTAGCAGTCAGATTAAACCACATCCAGTTATGACTTTCAGTTTGGTCTCCGTGCAGCGTGCAGCGGTTTACTTTTTAAAGGTGTAAACCATCTTAAATCGACTTAAAGTGTGTGACAAGCATTTTAACTCGTTACATCGACTTATGTTCAGCATCAATAAAATGTGTAAGAGCGAAAATCGCGAAAATGCTGTCAAATTGGGTTATGCAAAAAGTTGTAAGTTGCAGTGCGCTGCCATTGACATCGATCAATAATTTCTCGGTTAAATGCAGCGGCTAATTAGGAAAAAAAAAATATCATCAAAAGCAATTGCAAGCTGTCAAGTGCAACCAGAGGAATTCGTAAATTGAACGAAACAATTCGCATAACCCAAATTAAAATTGCTCATAGCTTGATAAAATTGACGTTTTTGAGGTGTGTTCTTATTGGTCTTTTGCAAATGACGACTTCAACAAATTAAATTACCAATTGCATTGAATTAAATTTTGATGTAGTTAAGGTATAACTAAACCACACTCATTCGAAGATTTTGATCTGGTTTTCTATAAATTACGACGCACCTGATTTTGTGTTGTGCTTTACGACACCAACTCAGTGTTTTTCGGTGCTGCTGTCATCAAGTGGTTGTTTATTATTGACTTTGCATTCAATGTGCTAACGACTTTTTGCGATCAACCTCGGCTAACCTTGTTTTATTGTGGACGTGATTTTTTTTCGTCGCTAGTAGATATACCAATTCTCAATACCGAGCATAATTAATCAAATAACAACAACCGAACAAAAAAAAACAGTTAATGGTCTCTCGTTTGCTACAGATTGAATTATCCATTGAAGTTACGTAAATGGCATCATGCGTGCGCTTCATGGAATGGGAAAACCGGTGAATGGCAACTATGGGTGAAGGCAGAACGTGTTGGACGCGGTTTCCATAATCGGGTATGTAGACCGAATTCTTTTTGTACCAACCATATTTTTTTCTCTCTCTCTCTCTCTCTCTCTCTCTCTCTCTCTCTTTCTTTTTCTCTTCTGAGCATAATTTACAGCAAGAAAAAAATCGTTTACACGTTTGGGGACGATTTTTATGTTAAAATTTTTTGTTTTGTTCCCAGAGTATTATTTCTCCGAGATAAAATTGTAATCATTAAGTTGCGTAATTGCAAAACCAGAAATCAACCTATTTTCGTTTTTTCTTTGCACCTCTGGATTCAAGGCGATTTGACGGCATCGCTGTCGTCGTTGACGATGAATAAAAAAAGCCTTGTAAAGAGAAATCCATTTAAAAAAAATACGATTTCAATTTTCTGATTACAGATCGTTGGTTACACTATTGGCTCGAATGGTGTTGCATACTCTGGCGGTCCTTCAATTACCGGAGCTATTGCGCCGGGACATCATATGGAGATAACGATTTTGCAGTTGTACAAAGTGTCTCTGAGCGCTGGCAAAGCACACCGTGACCACAAACATCATCATGTGCACCACTTTAATCATGACGGTTTGATTTCAACTACCGTACAACCAACTCCACCTCCAGAGGTAGTATTATTTTCATTAATATTTCAGCGATGTACATTATTTTATTGGCTGTCGGTCAAAATTATTTATTCTCTTTTTTTCTGCTCCCGGTAGGCAACAACACCTCATCCATTTTTGGCAAACGGACCTGTATTGGCTCGCCTGAATTTGAATGCACCACAACCAGTACAAACACAAACACAATTCTTTGGCGGTCCTCAAACGCAATTTGTGAGCGGTCAATTCAGTCGTGCACAACAATTGGTTCAACAGCAATTCACAGTACCACCGCCAGTGTTAAGCACACCGGCACCAACGGCTCCGCTTTTATTCCCACAAGAACCTCCAGCACCGCCATCAATTCCACAATCGATTGGAACACCAATTCCACAATCAATATCATCCTCGTCATTTGTCAACCTAAACAATCCGGCCAACGTTCAATTCATCGACGATCCAAATCTAACGCAAAATTTTGGCGGTCACGTTTTATTCAAACGGAATGGAAACGATAGCCAACGCAAAACGATCAAAGTACGACGAATTATTAAACGTACACCATCAACTGATAAGAAAATCAATAGAAAACGTGCCCTCATTGCGCTCAGCGATGGTTCATTTGTCGATGACAAAAATATTGCCGACGACACAGTGTTCGCTTATGATGGCTTGGCACAATTTGGTGCTGGTGATTTTCAAGAAAATCTCACGAAACAAGGGGGAGATATCGAAGATGAAATTAGAGCGCATGATCGCGAACCAGCTGAAGAAGAGGTGAATGCCGTTCTATCGCTATGCTCATCCTGTCAGGTTGAACCGTTCATCGGTGCTGTGGCATTTACATGGAAAGATACGAAAATTCAGCCGGAACATGCACTCAAGGGGCGTAGTGTTGGCAGCTGCGGTGCTTTTTAATTCAATGTTGTTTTTTTTCTGCTGAGATTATTTCTTCCTTTTCAAGCGAATGGAATTTTTGTTGTAAACATTCTTCTTTCTGCGAGTGGCAGAAATGTTTTCTTTTTGTATGATTGAATTTAACATTTTAGCTAATTTATTTAGTTTGTACATTTGTAATTGAATTTCATCGCTCGGATTCTTTTAAGAAGTAAATAAAATGTAGTAATGTAGAAGAAATAAGACTCACTTTGTTTTTATGTACATGCTGATGTGAATATTCCGTGTCGAATTCCGGCTCCGAACAATATCCAAACTGTTTGGGGGGGAAAAAACGAAACGAAATTGAAAAATTTAATTAGAAAAAGGTAAAAGTGCGCTCGAATGCTTCTGCATTGGAACATATTTTTGCATCTGATTTGTATGTGTGTGTGTGAGAGCATACCTGATCTTGATCCCAATGTGTACCGGTCTGTGGCAGTGGTTGTGGTACGCCAGGTCCACCGGGCAACGCTTGTGGGGCATTTACTTCGTTTGACTCAAACAAACGAAGTACGGATCGATCACGAATTTCCCTAAGATGTGATCTAGAGAGAATATTTTTAAAATCACCAAATATAAAACACCCAGAAACCAATTGAAAGAAGAAGCGAAATGTGTTCTATGGCAAATATGCAGACATAAGCCAATGATGAAATGAAACTAATTTTTATGTAAAAGTTGAATGCTTTTTCTATTTCAAATTTCATGATTTTGGTAAGGAAAATGGAAAAGAACGGCACAAGCTACCACCGAAAATGGAAAATAGACTTTATCATGTTGACATTACCTCACATCCTCAAGTTCATAGAACATATCCTTGTTGGCATCGTGAATGTAGATTTTAACATTTGGTCCTTCTAAATACGCCATGGTTAGCTGTCGCGGGAATGAGCGAACGAACAATGCTCGTACGGTATCAATCGAAGTAATTTCGTTAGGTAACAGTGCTCTCTTCGTTTCTGATCGATATTGCAAAAATACCAATCCTACAAATGCGAGAAAGAAAGAAAGAAACAGTAGCTTGTCATTCAAAATGTTTCGATTCCCATGTTATTAATCAATTATGGATAAAATCCATACCGAGAGGTCGTTCCAGTGTTTTTGATGGTGTACGAACTACAGGCAGCGATGATCTTGTTTTATTCCCACGTCGAAATCCCGTGCTAGCGGTTTCGACTTCTGACATAATACCGGGGTCATCATCGAATAATGGACCTTGATTTACTGGTGCGTATCCACGCACTGGCGGAGGCTGCTGCTGAACCGAAACATCGAAGAAAAGAAAATGGAAAAGAAAACAAAAAACGAAAGAAAAACATGTAATTTTCATTTTTGACTTGACGTTGTTTCTGCATGCCAAATGATTCATCCTCTACAGATTCAATAGAACTATTTAATGTTGTAATTTCAAATGCAAACTACGAAAAACATGCTTCAAAATGGTATGCGTATTCAGAATGATTGAATATCCTCATAAATTTTATAAGCATTACTGAATTATAGCTGAATGCTCGAAATATTTCCTTTTCAAGAGTAACTCAACGCAAACGGCACGTGTGTGTATTGATGTATGTGGATTGCCGATTGCTTTCTCATGCTCAATTTCTCCGAAAATTTCTAAGTGAAAAATGAATTTTCAACATTCTATAAAATTTTGATGCAAAAAAAAAAACACGCAATATATGAGAGAGAAAAAAAAAGAAGAAAACGAACGGAATGCAATGGATGGAACTAATCTTTTTCAATTTGCCCTATTTACCTTTTTGTTCTTTTGAGCCCGCATTCCCATCTAAAAACAAGTAAAATGTGTCAATTCAACGTTTCAATTAACGTCATTTGCTTTGTTGCCATCATTTTCGTTTCAACTTTTTAATAATAAAGAGCAAATCATCTCAGCGATTCGACAAAACTCAAAAAGAAAAGCCTTCTTTTAAAATCTGGATTTACTTAATATTTAAACTTGTCAAATAGCACTAATTGAAATTTTAAGCAGGTTAATCTATATTGTACAGAGATTTTGGAGCGTGAACAAATTTAAATAAAGGATATTTCTCTTCTTTTTTTTCTTGCTTCGACCTGAGTCAAAGTGAACATTTTTGCTCACCTCAAGATCCATTGCACGTTGTTGAATATTTTGATTCTGCTGCGAATAAACTAGCATATCGTTATGTGATCCCAGTGTATGCCGGCGATTGTCTTCTGTCGGACGAATGCGAGCGCCACGTCGTCGATCATCTAAAAAAAGGTGCAAAAATGTGTTATGATTTTTCTTCTCGTCATAAAATCTGTCGTCGTCATGCATTAGATGCTTTGGCTCATTTAAAATTAACTCGCACTACACTGATGGAAATCCATACACTGACAAGCCATGTGAAAGCACTTTCTTCAACCCAAAAAAATGGCATAACATAATTAAAAATACATTAAGGATGAAGGAAAAATCTTATCCCAGACGGTTTTTTTTCTCACACTTTTTTACTTTATTTTTCTACACAGTGAAACCAATTAGTCCTCTCAATTCTACGTCACGTATTTAATAAATGGCACTTTATTATCGTCATAATACACACAGATCGAATGTGAATCAACTTTGTATATATAGTTTTTTTTCCTCTCCGTTCATTCAGTGCCAATGAGTTACGTAGTTTCTTTCATTCACTGTGTAAATTGTTTCATCGTTGACACAATAACAATATGAAAGCGGTTCAAGTTTTCCGACGTGACTGATGAAATTAGCAACGAGAGAAAAATGCCAACGAGAGAAAAGTGACAACAACAGAAAAAAAAGAGTGAAAAAAATTCGAATATCGTCGTCTGTCTATTTTGCAACACTGATGCAAGAATGCTGACAAAGTCGTTCTGAGCATATCACACGATCTTAAAATGCACGGTAATAAATGTTTTCGACGCCTAAGCCACACACAGACACGGAACTATACGTTGTATACTAAACTCTCTGACACATCTGTTGTCAGCGCACAAATGTCGATTCTGTTCATCAAATGTCAAATTATTACAGTCGCGACGATGCCAAACGATCAACATCGTATCTACATCGGCAACATTGTATACACTGCATGGCAATAAAATTCGAAAAAATCGCGGGCGCATCTCCATAAAAAAAACATCAAGACTTGTCTTCGACTTTTTTCATTTTTGTTAGTATGTCTGAAGTGTCGAAGTCGGAAGTTCATTTGTTTCAGTCGAGTTGGGTGTAGCGAGCGAGTGAGAGAAAAAACAAACACTCTTGGCACGTGGACTATCGAATGGGTTGTCCTCGTTTTATGAATCGTACACGCCACTACGGTAGCACACTTTTGACTCGATGTAACGCTCAAGCTGCTTCAATTTTTAATTGGAATCGAAATGTGGAAAAAATTATATGATTCTATTTCAATTTTCCTTTTATTTTATTTTCAAATGAAATTGCTTTATAAATGTTTATATTCGTCCATTAAGCGAAATTGTTTTTCTCATTTATGAAAGGGGCAATAATTGTAAATTGAATATCACGCACCGCGCCTTCTACTGAAATACACATTCAGTTTTTTTCATCCAACATATGTTCAAATTGTATTCGACGCTTCGTTGTTGTTGTGTTTCGGTGTGCCGTAGGCAATCATATCGATTTTATTGCCAACCGTTTCAGTGCATTGTGCATTTTGCCAGAGAAATCGACGTTCTGGTCATCCTACCTCAATTATGAACACAAAAATGGAAAAACAATTATAATTTCCGCTCCGATTGAGCACTATAAAAATATCGACACCGTAAATTCCATCAGTCTGGTTACTGGATTCTGGTAAAATGCATTCACGTTATATGTTAAATGTTCATTGTTGCCACCTCACAAGATTTCCAAGCGAGACAATTTGACAGACAAAATCAATGTGTCAGGGCTTGTGAAGTGTTTTAAATTTATGGAAATTAATTTATGAATTCAGGCGTCGGTGTCGGCTTGCCTTTCGAACCTTTTTCACAATTGTTTTCATTTGACAAAAGGTAATCCGTCGGGACATTGTGTGTGTGTGTGTGTGAGAGAGAGAGATAGGAAAATTGACATTTCAGCCTGTCAGCAGTCAGTTTTCCATCACCTATGAGCCATCATCATGCCATGCACGCAAATATAAATGGAAGATTGTTCTTAATTAAAGTGTTACCTTGATCATTCTGTTGATTTTTGCCTTTGTCATTTTGCCAATCCTCTTCTGAAACAAAGAAAGTAGGTTATCGAAATTTATCATCACATAAATGCGTTAGCCATAATAATTCATAATGACACGGGACCATGCACAGGCACACAGCTCTATAATTTTAACGCTTATATATAAAAATAAAAATTACAACGTTCGGCGAGGAAATAATTCAGCGCCGGCCTAGATTAGATCATAGAACAAGAGCGAGAGCGAGAATAGAGGGCCACTCCTCTATTTCAACCATTTCGTCGAATACATTTTTGATGGTTCGTTCCACACTATGGAGAAAATTCGAAGAAAAAAATTTCCATCCTTATTTCATGCAATCACAGAGTTTTTCCACAATAAGACAACCTACGACTGCTAGTGTCAAACGTAAATGCACAACAGCGACAAGTCACATAATACTAAACGCATCCATTCTTAATGGGTACCTAATGTAATTTTTTCGCGCGGAATTTGAAAACAATGAAAAATGAATGGGTGCGTTTAATATTATGCAGCATACTAGCGATGGTTGAAGACAACATTTCTGCAGCGAAACGAAGACAAAGAATATAAATCCGTCGCAAAATGAGCGCAATTTTTTTCGCCATCATCTATGTGTCAGCAAAAGAGAGGGAGAGACCGTAGTCTTGGTAAAAAAAAATTTCCTCCGTTATCCGAAATCCATGTAGAAATAAAGATGAACGCGTTTCCATTCAACGGCTACCCGACAAAAATATTTACGTTAGAACAGCAAAAAGAATTGCGAGAGCAAAGAAAATCCAAATTATCCACTGACGAAACGAGAGAACGAAATTGTGTGCTGAAGCGCTTTAACTTGCTGTAGATTATCATGGGATGTAATATTATTTGAGACTGGCAGTGTGTCTGAACCCGCTTTTTTTCTATCTTTTTCTTCTCTTTCTAATGCGTTCGATGTTGCCCATATCCATAATAAAATCTATCGACGGTTTGGTATTTTGTTTACATTTGATGGAATAATATAATCGAAGTTTTCTGCAGTCGGTAGTCGAGAACTTATTTTTAGGTTGGCAGTTAATTTTCTTGTCGAAACAACTCAATCACACTATACACACGATGAGATATGCGTGCACGGCAGCCAGTCGCTTTTGATAAACATAGGAAGTTCATCAAACTCACAAAATCGCGATGAGATTATTAGAAAATTGTTTGTTGTGGTGTTCGCATTTTATCATCGATAAAACTCTATGTTTCATGTTTTCTTCTCCGTTTATTTCGTATTTTCTTGAAAATCCAACGCCACTTAACGTCAAACAAATTTTCAATCTACTAATTATTATTGTTATGAATTGAAAACTTTTAATTGAACCCATGCATAACAATAATTATTATTATAATCAACGATAAAACTTTGCGTTTACCTCCTTCGCGTCCTTTTCGTTTCTTCTTTGAACTGCTCGATGAACTATTTGAGCTACTTTTATCCTTACTTTTCCAACGAATTAACATATTGCAACTGTTTTATATGCGTAACTGTCTTTTCAAAATTTTCAAAACCGTTCCGTTGTTTTTATGAATATTTCTTTTTTTCGACGGAGTTTCTACGTTGATTGCTTAACTCTGCTATTCTTTGCAGATGTCATGTAAATTGTATCACTTGTTTGTGTGTGTGTGTGTGTGTGGAAAGGTAAAAAGAAATGAAAATTTGTTATGCAAAATGAAATAAAGTTTTAGTACTCGTTATCAAATACTTTCTGATGATGGATCGTATTGCTATTTTGCTCAAAAGATTCGAAGCAACTCGAAATGAGACTGGAAAATAAGGTGTCAATCGCTTTGTGTATTGGATGAGGAAAAAAATTCTTTAGCTCGTTTGAAATTCCCCAAAGATGACAAGTGTGCAAATGTCACGAGGAAAATGGATATTTTTCCGTTGCCTTTGCAAAAATGCAATACGTGTGCATTTATATAGCGAGTCTATGTCGAACACATAGTTTCAATTTGAAGCCAGCAACTAAATAGAAAAAAAAAACGATCATTTGACTCGGAAACAGTGAAACATTGAAGCTGTGTGTGTGTGAAAATGTAAATGGCATGGAACTGTTGATGTTAAAGTAATTTGATGCATGCTAGAGACCATGTGGCTCGTTACCGAACTATGCATATTTCAGAATGAAATCCGAGAAATGCTTTTGTATTTACTGTGCGGCAACTTTGCTCAAGTTTGCCTCGAATGTTGAGTCAATTTCCGACTCTGATGATTGAATTTATGTTCAAAATGACATAATTCATGGCGAAAACTTTCAGCAACTTCCTCACAAACCTGAGCGCTCCAATGTCAAAATTTTAAATTTATGGTTTGTATGCAAATAATTCCCATGGATCACTCGATTAATTTTTCATTGTAATGTTGATATCCGCTTCATTATGTCTACAGCAGCAGAGAAGAAAACTGAGCACATGTTGTGTTCGATGCATTTTTGTTTTCAACTCAGTTCATAAATTTGGTCTGACATTCAAAGTACTTTTCGCCAAAGACAGAACTATTTCATCGCAATTTTTCGGTGAAAATAAAACTGGAGCAAAGGCAAAATTCATTCCATTTTGTGGTTTGTGGCTTCCATTCAAACACACATAAATTGAACCACACTGACTGACTTTAGTGTTGAAATTATAAACTTTTTTTTTATTATTTCAACAATTGTTATTCTCTCTTTTTGTGAATTGTTCAAGTGGAATGTATATGCGAATCGTTTGGTAAATGCATTTCAATCGATTGTTTCATCATCACCTTCTCTTATTGCGGGCGTTTGTACAAACATAAAACCGTCGTTTAGTGTCGGATTATGTTATGTTATCGATAATCTTTCATTCATTCGATCACATGAAAAGGGATCGCATTTGTGGGCGACGAAACCATATAAGTTGACGCCGTCAAAGGTGAAATGCCATAATGCCCACGCCGATACACACACTTACACAAACAAAAGCCAAATGTAAACACACATTTGTCTCCTCATCCACGGAATTATGTCAACAAATTTGATATCACATCGTAGTGGAAACCATAGATAGCTTCATCATGCGAGTGTGATGGCAACTAGTAATTGTCACCTTTTTTGATGTTAAAGGCGTAATAAAAATGAAACTGCACACACATACGGTATTTCCCCAGGTAAACATAAAAAAAAGTTCTGTACACCGAAAACCGACGCTTCGCTTCCAGTACTAATCATATTGATGAGCGAAGCGGCATCACTGAAATGGAAGCGAGTCGAACGGACCGTATCAGAGCAAGAAAAAAGAGAGAGAAAAAGTGCGTTTCTATGCACATAATAATAAATTGCCAGACAGAATAAAAGCGACATCGACGAGAAACCACGCAAAGATGGGGAAGTTCCTTATTGCACGGCATGCGAACGCCTCGTATAGCACTTGGGGACAACCAGCATACATACATACACATCAAATGAACAATGGCAATGAGGAAGTCGCCTCATTTTTATGAACTCGGCACGATGTCAAACAACGGCCTAATAAGTATCCAAGTGGTTTTTTTAATATGTGCGTGTTTTCTACTTAAAAATGTTCACTTACACGCAATTATGTTCCCATTCGCCACCGACATTAGCATTCACCAGTTTCATGTGGCGGTGTGCTTTTGCTCGACATAGTCGTATGCGGGTGAGCAAAAGAATTCACGCACATTGGCAAGGCATCATGCCATAACCGTTCCCAAGAAAGTTATTAGGATGTTTTGCATTTGTCGTCTCTGACGGGTTTTTTTTCGTTCTCTCTCTATCTCTCTCTAGCCGCTCAATTGTGTAGTGCATGATTAATGTGAATTAAAAATGGAACTGGCAGGTGTCAACCACACGTACACATCTCCATGCTAATTTTGGCTGTGGATTAAGAGCAAAACTAGAGCAAATTGGGATGGTCGTTTTGTCAGCAGTTACATATTTTATTCTCTTTTCCATTCTCATCCGCTTTGTCTCGGTATTGTACCAATATTTGATTAGAGCTATTTCAACCGGTTCAATTTGTTGGTTTAAAATCGATTAAAGAGACTTACTAATACGTAACATGCTATTTTGGGACCATATTAACACATTCTTGTATGACGCACACATCAAATATTCAACAGAGGATGGATTATAAATTTTGAATGCATCCACATTTGCAAAACAAAGCAGACAAATCGAACCGAACGTTCCACCGAGCAAAAAGGCGGATGATGTTGTTCGCTTCAATTTCTTCTTCATTCATTTACACTCGTTAGGACTCGGTTCACTGTGAGTGATGAAAATCGCGATGGGATGTAGTATGCAAAATGAAGCCACGTACATTTAAATGGGCGTAGTTCACATGAAAAAAAAAACTGCAAACAATCAAAACTTTTTACTTTGTTTTCATTTTTTGTTGGAAACATGTATAAATTTCCAACTTATTCATTCGTTTGGTTTTTGCAAATTTAATGAGCACTCGAGAGATAATGATTCAACAACAACTTGTATTGATTTCCATAGAAATGATGCAATTTATTCCATCCAATTTCCAAGTCAACTCTCAACAATCAAAATATTGTTTCAACATGATTTATATTTCCTGTGAAGTGATTGTTTTCATTCTGTTCCACATTCGGGCAGATTTTTTTGGGTTATACATACTTCAATGGCGATTGATTTTTTGAAATGGACAAAAAAAAATTAATTGAAAATGTATATATTCCAAGTATTGATACGTCTGATTGAATCATTTTTTGCGCAAATAAAAAAACAAACGCACAAAGGTTAGATAAATTTTATGAAAGTCAAATGATGTCAAAGAATTCAAACACTTCCGTAGTACGTACAGGTCCGTTTTTTCTCCTGTTTTTTTCTCTTTATTTTGTGTATTCGCACTCAACAAACCACACCACAGAGTACACATATACAGTGCAAAGCAATTGAAACGTGAGCAGAAAATTTTTTCACTCTCCAAACTAATACTCTTGATGGTATTTATATGAACACAAGCGGAAAAAAGTGTGTTTGCATATTTTCCATTTGATTTATAATTTACAAAGAACACATCAGATCAATTTCCATGTTTTGCAAATGGGATTTCAGTAGAATTTAATATTGGCGAAAGGCACAGTCACAATTACACATACGATTTTACACTTCAAAGCCTTTGGAGCGGTAATTTATTTTGCTGTTCAACTTTACTCCCTTCGCTTACATTTCGCGAGAAAATTCAATATTAACGATTCTATTTTCCAATAAATTAGGATAATTTTCTTCACTTCAGAATTTCACTCAATTAATGCACTTCATCAAATCAAATCAATAGTCAGCACACACCAGGAAAAAAAAACTTTGTTGTGCACTAACAACTGTGTAAAAATCGAACAAATTGCGCGTCTTGAAGCTAAAACTTTTGGGTGTCGAGTAAAAATCGTTTTCATCATTTGAGTTCGACTATGCTATTCTGTATGCGTTCGAACATGGAAATAAAGACCCATTCTGTGGAAACAGTGAAAATACTTTCCACGCACATATTCAAGCCGCGCTCTCTTACTCGCTCTTTAGACCAATACAACGGTACATTTGTGAATCGATATACGCGGCATCGAACTCATAATATCTAGAGGAAAACATTGCCGCCGTACATGGTGGTTGATTGTATGTGTGTATTGTATATGAGTTCCGCCCTTATACCGACACCGTAAACACATACACACATACACCGTACTCACACATACTTTGCTGAAAAGTGATGGGATTAATGCGCGCGCACGCACCAAACAAATACAAGCATGTCGCATTTCGGTGCCTAACACAAGTTTTTCCCAAAACAGTTAGCTACGGTTTGGCAACAAAAATGACAATAAATAACCAAATTTCGAATATTTTCTCATGACTTTTGGCTTTCGCTCTCGCTCTCCGCCGACTTCTTCATCTTTCTCCGGAACATTTGAACAAAGCCGTTGATATGGATGTTGTAACAAACATACGCGATGATTGATATACGACCACTTTTCTCAGGCGAATCAAAAACTGCGATTTGCTTACCGAAATGCTGCTCAGCGGAGCGGATTTCAACACATCTTAAAATAAATTCTGTTCACGGTGTATCGAACATCGAAAAACATATTCAGTGAAAAAAGTATCGAAGCAGAAAGTTGTCTGAGAGAATTGTCCTGCTATTCTCCAGCTCTGGGAAAGTTTGACTGAAAAACGGCGATAGATGTGGTTGGAATCGTTATGTGTTGCATGTGAAAGCTTTAGAAATGGAGACGCCGAATGGGAACGCCATTTTTTTTTATTACACAAATGGAATCGAAGGAGACAAGAACAATTCAGTTTTACTTACTCTGTGAGATAATTCCCCGTTTTTGAGATTGCAGTGAATCGATGGTGTCAACACTGTGTCGACTGTCCAACGATGTTTGGCTGGCTTGATATCGGACATTTTTCGCAGGCAATGCAATCGGTCGATACATTTGCTCAACATTGTTCAGCATCACGATGCGGCCATGCTTCGGAATCACTTTTGTTTTCGTGTAACCGGGTGGAAGATGCACTTCAACCGCATTGCCATTTCCATTGATTTGCTGATGCTGTGGAATTGTTGGCAACATGATTGGTGTGAATCTTCGGTCGACGACTTGATTTGCATGCTGTTGTTTCGGTGCTATTGCGCTGGGATGATAAATTTGAAGTAAATTATTTCCTAGTGATGGATTGCTGTCACTGTAGCGAACATTCACATATTCATAAGCATTCAAGTCTTGGTTGGCACAACCGTAGTTTTTCGATTGAATGTGCACCGGTTGAGTGAGCGATGCATGTGATCCATTCATTTGTTGATATTGTTTAACGTGAACGGGCGTTAGACGCTCACTATCAACGACAATGTATCTTTTCGGTGGCACCGCATAATGACCAATTATTCCGTTCATTGGCTTATTTTCATCATTCACCAACGCTGGTGACTGTTGCGTGTTTAGTTTGGGTATTCGTTCGTAAATTTGGTGTTGATCGATTTGATCCATATTCAATTTTTGTCGTTGCTGCTGCTTCTGCTGCTGCTGCTGCTGTTGATGTTGTTGTTGTAAGCTCTGCTTTCGTAGTGGCACTTGAGGCCCAATTTTACCGCTTCGACTCGAAGCGATACTTGGGCTCGTTTTCGATGGCGTCACAGACGTATACGAAATGGGTGATACTTCGGATGAAGTTACATCTTTATGAACAGTAGCCATTTGTTCATTTGAAGCACCGCCAAAGAATTTGGTCGGTGTTCGACTCATTGACTTCCGGCAAAATTCGATGACTTGATTCATAATCTCGCCTCGGCTCAACGGATTGCGACGCAATTGAACACTCGGCGATGGTGTCGATTGTGCATGTCGTCCCGTCATCATTTCATCTAGAACACTTTGTGGTCGCTGTGGCTGTTGTGCTTGTAGAATTTTTATTGGAGTTTGTGGAATCTGTGGACTGATTCGTTGCATCGTGTTACCGCGATAAATTCCGCTGATCGTATTTCTCTGCGGCGAATTTCGAATGAAAACAGGTTGCTCATAGATAATTGTCGGATTAACGTTTTGCTGTTGCGCGACTGCATGCATTTTGATTTGATCGAGTGATTGTCGATACGGTGTATTTCGGATGAATTGAGCGTTTATCGGCACCGCTGGTTTCTTGTCGACTTTGGCGTACAACGGTTGTGGCTGTGCGGCTACCATGTTATTATGAGTGGGCAAACGATCGTAGATCGGCTGTAATTGCTGTTGTTGCTGTTGGTGACGGTGTTGTTGTTCAATGATTCTTGGGCTGTACGCCATTGGCTGCGAGTTCATATGTGCTTGAACCAACAACGGCTGAGCATAGAACTGACGATCGGCATTGTTCCGTAACTCTTGCATTTTGGCCCACGTCGCAGCATCTATGTCAACACGCGGTTGCTGTTCCAATGATGCATCATTTGGCTGTAGAATCGGAGACAAATTCAACGTTTGTTCAAGCGAAACGTTCTCATTGCGATGTGCTTTTTGTGCATCCAAAACAAATTTCGGTGGAGCACCTTCGACGATTGGGGTTGATGTGCTTTTTGGTGCTTTCGACTCATTTACAGTGTCTGGTGTTTTTGCATCGTTCCGTGTGATTTGAACATCAAACGATGTTTCGCATAGATTACGTTTGCTCGCTGGAGCATTTGCTGGCACTTTATTCAGTCTCTCGGGCAATTTTGATGGAAGTCGACGTTTTGGCTCGCTACTGAAACCGTTCACACGTTTCTCTTCCACCTGATCTGATTTACCATGATTTACTAACGGTCGCAAATTACTGATTGGTAGTTTAGCGCGAACACGTGCTTTGACGCCACTATCTCGATCACGATTTTCCAACACTTTAACTTTTTGTAGTTGAGTCGGTGTTTCTTTGCTCGATTTATAAATAACAGGATGCATTTGTTGTGATAGTGGCACCGATGATCTGCCATTTATGTGCTGCCGCGGCCGTGGTATTGGCTTTGCTTGTGATTGTTGATCAGGGTTTTTGTTTTTATCACAGGTAACAATCGTACTATTTGATGAGCTGTCAATGTACCGTAATCCAGAGAGTGATCGTGTCGTTTCCGTATCGCTGCTTTTTGATTTCAATGTTTTATTGCAATTTGCTCGGTATGATTCCAAATATTCACTGTTTTCCACATTGGTCAACGTACTGGAAATGGATGATGTGCTTCCGCTCAAAACATTCACCGTCTTTAAATTTGATTTTGCAACATAGGCATCACAGTTGGCCGGCATACTTTGCCTATGCAACACCAATCGACGTGCACTGCTGAGGCGACCCTCTTTTTTCGGTTCATTTGCTTGAATTTTAATTGGTGCAGGTGTCGAGTCTTTTGGCGTTGTTCGTCGCCGGGACGAAAAGAATCCATTCGGAAACAGTCGCTGAAGCACCGATGGTTTTCGCGCCTTTTTCGCATCGATTTCGCTTTGTATTGTCGATGTGGACATTTTCGGTTTATTCTCAATAATTCGCAACTGAGGCTCGAGCGTAAGTCCTTTTTCGGCTAAGTATTTCTGAAATTCTTTGCTATTGATTGTGTTTGTCAGTGATTCTTCTTTCACTTCAACTTTTTCCTTTGGTTTTTCTTCTATCGTTGTGTCGATATCGTCGAGCCCGTTTGCATCAAAGTCACTCGTTAAATCGGCAATTTCGTCTAAATCGTCCTGCGAACCGAATTGTGTATTTTTAATGCGAGCATCGAATTTTTTCGCATTTATTGCCACCTCTTTCGGATTGAAAAATGAACCCTCAAGATCAGTGCCCGTTTTGACTTTGATTTGCGATAAATCTGGATATTTACTACGATCAACTTTTTGGTTGTGTGCCGTTGGTAGTTTTGATGTTACGGAGCCGTTCGCATAGCCGTTTGTATGACCATTTGTGAGATATGTTTTGATTTTCGGTTGATTGTAGTTCAAATTCGATGGACTATACCGATTCTTCAGTTCTCTTAGCCGCTCCTGCGTTGATTTGCTGATCCGTGTTCCGTTCACTTTCTTCGGCGGTGAAATGCGATCTCGGTTTTGAGCGGCTTGTTCTTCTCGATCTTCTTTCAGCAGACGCTCTTTTATCGTTGGATCATAAACGAAATATTCATCGGGATGTTTTATATATGTTTTCACATATTTTGACTCTTTCAGCACATCTTCTTTTGTGATGTATTCATCCTTTGGTATCTCTTTAGCCGCAAATGTGACTTTTGGGCGTTGCAAATTCGTCGGTGTCGATGAGAAAAAATCCGCTCGCCGCTTCGCATTCAATTTCTTAAATGGATTTTCCTTATCGACAATTATTTCGCCGCTAATGAATTTTTTGACTTTTTCATTAATTTTATCTAGCGAAACTGCCTTTTTATTTCCACTTCCTTTTGACGGCACCGGATTGTTTGCCTTCGATTCGTCACCACTGCTTTGTAGCGTTGTCACACATCTATTGAGCTCATTTTTATCGTCGATCGAACCAAATGGCCTTTTGTCATGTGAATCGGTTGCGGCCAATAGTTTTTCTGATTGAATTTCCGTCGATTGTTTTATGGCATTCGCATCAAATCGATCCTTATCACTTCGTTCTACAGAAATATCACAGTTTTTGACATCGAATTTGTTGTCGTCGTCGTCGTCGTTGTTGGTCGCATCTTTCGTTTGATTAGTATCATTTTCGTTTGCCGGTGCATTAGTATCGTCGTTTGCAATTACGCCTACATCGTTCACATTCGATTTCGGTTTCGTTTCAGTTGTCTTCGTTTCCGCTTGATGTGATAACTGGTTATACTCGGTTTGGCCTACGAATGAGAAAAAAAAGCAGAGAAACAGAGAAGCAATTAGCAAAGTTGTTGGTCATTAGAAATTCATAATTTTGATGAATTTTTAACATGCACGACTAAATGAAGACAAATAGCTGTTGGTGATTTATCTTGTTGAAATTTATGTTTTCGCTGAAGCGAAACCGAGAAATAGAGAATGAAAAAAAAAATTTAGAATAAACAATAGCAATCAACAAGTCAGTGAATTTTTATGGCACACTCTTGTTCGCTTGATTGTTCGTGATGATGGATTGAAATACGTTGACGTGTTTTATATGATATTTGATATTCTTACTACTTCTTCTTTGCTACGGCCCAATGCACACGGAAATTAAGACGACCATAAACATCACTCAATGCGTTTGGTGTGCCTCGAATTAACAACGCGCTCGAATTTCCATTTTACACGTATTGACATTTTAAACAATGAAAAAATGACCCAGTGATATTTCTCGATACTCAGATAAATATTTTAGCATTATAATACGTCGAACGTGCGCTCTCTATCGCTTAATGACTCCGTGCGGACTAATATTTCCGCTTGTTTTTTTATAACGGATTTGAATGGATAAACTCCTTCCAAATAATTCCCAACTTTTATTTGTTATTTCACAAACAATAACACACAAAAAAATCTTTCGCAATCGAAAAATGTATCTCGCAAGGCGCCGCATGAATATTTCGTTAAAATTGAGATTTATGCTCATTACAGTAGCTCATTCTCAAAACCATTTGTTCACGCGATCAATTTTGGGATCGTTCATGAAAAAATGCGAACAATGTGTTGTTTTAACTGCGCAAATAATAGCACTTCACACGAAATAGAATCAATTAAAATCAATATTCGAGCAATTTGGCTCTCCATATGCCATATATTTAATAAATATTTATTCGTCGATTGTAACGGGTCCGATCTCAATTGATGCAAACAACAATCAACGACGTTTCACAATTTGGCTTTGTGTTCCCGGAAATGTGTAAACAAAACTAAAAACGAGTGCAAATTTGTGTAAACAAAGCAAGAGATTTTCGTGATACAAAATCGAATCGGTCACTCACTCACACACAGACATAGACACACAATTTCGGTTGGGCCGTACACATTCAGTGTAAAAATAAACATATCATGCAGATGTCGACGATGAGATAAAAATCAAATACTAGAGGAGAGGGAGGGACAAAAAAAAATCAAGAATAGAAGTGAAGAAATTGAACAATAAATCTTAATTTTGTCTTGTTTAAATCTCTTTCGTGCCAGCACACACAGAAAAAGCAAGAGCCGAGAACGAACATCGAAAAACGCGACGTGCTAAGAAATACGAGCGTTGCACAAGAGTAGTTTCATGAGCGAAATCGATCGTGCACGCGATTGAAAATATTTAATGCGCTCAAATAACAACACACGCATGATCGGCACAATGGGAAACCGAGCAAAAGACAGCGCGCAGCACAGTGTTCGTATCGCTAGAAATCTCGTAAATTTGTGGCCCAAAACAAATGTATTCTTTGAAATGATTGTAAAGTTATCGCTCGCGCCAAATCGTAAACACTATTGTAATTGAATTCACTTTATGAATTTATGTAAGAGGCGATGAAGTTGGAGATTTTTTTCTTTGCTTTTTTTTAAAGAATGCAATTTCGTTCCGTTTGCTTCCACTGAGAAAGAGAGAGAGAGAGACTCTCGCCACGAATAATAGTATCATATCGAACAATATGTTTAATCAGTTTATTGATCTTATGTCGACGGTTTTTTCAATTTCCACTTACTCTCTCTCTCTCTCTCTCTCTCTCTCTCACTCTCTTTCTCCATCTCGCGCCCGCTCCTCTACGAAATGGAAATGCTAGTTTTCAGTGGAAGCAATAACAATTACGTCGATCGATAAAAATTACATGAAACGTTCATGAATGCGAATTACCAAGTCTTTTAATACATAAATGAAGCCATACAATGAATATCGCACTTGGCCATTTTCATTTGTGTGTTGGGCTTGTTTTTCTTCTCTCCTTGCATGCGGATTTTCTGTCAGTCGTTCACATTGAGATTTACAATTTTTGCATGACAATTTGATGGCCAATGCGATGACAATGTGGCCAACAGCCACAGAATGCTGTCATACACGCGCCAATCATTCCATCCGTATCCCGTTCCGTACGTACATATGTATTGAATTCAATCTGTGATATCGAGACGCATAATAAAATTTAATGAAAAACTCATTTTTTTCTGCTCTTCTGGCTGCGTCACGAATGGTCTCGAGACAAAAAAATAACTGCTACTGTCATCGTTGCCACTGTCATACTGTCGAGCGCTGTCGACGGTACTTATTTTGTCGTGGAATTGTTGCAAATTCATCGTTAATTGTGAATTCTGTCCAAGGCTTAGATAGTTAGAAGCATATAACCATATACTTAATTTCATATTAAAAGCCACAAAAAACAACGGCTACTATTCATTGTGTTAAGTGTTCTTTCTTGACATTCGCATGGATGATGTTACTAGTGTTTTAAGCTCTCTTTTGGATTTGAACAACGCAATCGAAATGGATTTACCCATTGCTTCTGGCTCGTTCCGAAATAATTCGCAAGCGTCGGGATTGTACAATGGTGCGATTCAAGTTTTTATCACATAGTTGTGCTTTTCATCGGCATGTCAAGAGTTAAACTCACATATAGCATATTTATTCGGAGCAAAAGAGAGGTTGTTCGCCCGCATCGGTTGGTTGTGCGGCGTATTCAGTTTTCATGTTATATTCATAGAGTTTTCACGATACATACTATTATCTCGATGGACTGTTAATTGAAATAAGTATTCCACGAGATGTGGTATGTGTGAAAAGCAAAAAATCGATGCTTCCATGTCAAACACAATTCTATGTGTCGACACCGATATTATTTAGATATCTTTTTGTGCAGCACCAACTTACAATAGTCTATTAATTCTTGCTACATCGCATTTGCGTTCACATTCAATCGATTTTTCAGTATCAGTTGTCATATTAGTTCATTTGCACCGACTTTGTCGGTCATTTTTTTCTTATCAAGCAAGGGATTGCAGTTGTTGTCTCGTTGTTATGTGTGTATAAATATTCTATCAGACATTTACGTCATTCACAAATGTGAATAAAATGTGCTAATTTATCGATATGCGCAAAGCTATTTTTCGCAATAGCCACATGATGTCGGCGACTTCATTTTAAGTTGGCTCAATTTTGATAACAACTCGCTGATAAGAGTTAAGTAACCGATGAATGTGATCGATTGCGGGGAAATCACATTGATTTGTTAATTTGTACGAATAGCTTTGGTTTATTTTGTCACACATGCTGAACAAACGGCCTTGAGTTATTTTTGGACAAAGCAACAAATTCGATTCAAGAACAATACGACTATCGTTTATAATTGGTCACCCTATTTTAGTTACGTTAAAGTGCTATTAATTTGTCGAAAAAAATCCCCCCACATAAATCTTGCATTGAAATAAACACAATCGATCGATTAATCAAATGATTTCAAAATGTATTTGATATTTGTTTGGTCATTGATACCTTCATTTAATAGAAAAATGTTTCGTTGTTTTGCGGCTCAGCGCACACGTATCCGCTTTTGGTTTCTGCTAAAAAAACGCACGATTTTGCTCATAGTCATTAGAAGAAAAAAAACGGCTAAATGACAATTACATTTCGCATCTTTTATCAGGAATTAGTCAATGGTTTCCACGTAGGTGTGTTCTGCTGTTTTCGAATCGAGCTAGATAAATCGATACGAATGCCGTATTTTATTTACCGAAGCCGATCCCATTCAACCTGACGACTGTAAATTGGATTTTCGCTAAGCCGAACCACATCGCAGAACCGCGCATCACCACCATTATCGGCCACATCAAGATAAGATAACGGGCTCTTTTTTTTTTTAACACAGACAAATGCTAATACATACCGTGTTTTTTTCGCATTACACGTAGTTTTCACATGTATTTTCTGAGTGTTTTCTGTTGTTGTTAAGAGTGAAAAAGTGTGACTGAAATGGTTGTTGAAAATGATCGGTGTTCACAATCTCTAAATCCCTTCGACGTGTTTGTTCAAACAATTCAATACGACATGTTGACTAGTGTCGGGTGATATTCAGCTCGAACTCGTTAGATTTATGAAGATCTTAATCGCATTCATTTCTGAAACATATGGGCATTTTTTATTCCATAAAAATGGCTTTGCATCTGATTATTCAAATTTTGTGTTATGGCTATGCGACATTTTTCTTTGAAAGATGCTTTCATTCGTCGGGCTAATATGTTCACATCCAGTTCACGCTGAATCGGCTCTCAAGTGGTTTTGAAAAGATTTTGAATTTGATTGGAGATGACTGCTCTTTCAACTAATTTAAATATAAAATTATAAATTCGGTCGTCTTTTCGTTTCTATTTGTCGTCAATTTGTCCGTTGTCCCACTGTGCGTTGAAATCACACGAATATCATTTTGATAACATACGATACATTGAATTGATCCGACGAAAAGTGAGCATCCATAAACATTTATTGCAATTGGTATCATTTAAAAGCAATAAGCTATAACATGCAATGAGAACCCGTCTCTCAATGATCATCATCAAAGCGTCTACAATACAAACAATATCCATGTTGGTCATTCATCAGAGTAAACAAAAAGCGACCGCAAACAAAAATATGACAAACAAAATCATCTTTTGTCATCGGCAAAATATGGAATGAAACGAACAGAAAAATAAGTTATACGATCCAAAGAGACAAACATTGAATTCCATTTTCAGTCAAAGCCGGGATTTATCACACACACACACACACACACATATATATATATATACATAAGCAGATACACACGCACACGGTCGTCGTCTTAAAACATTTGGATTTAGTTAAACGGGCATACCAACATATACAATTGCGTGTGTTTTTGGACTCTGTCGGCACAAGTATATATATTTAATCAGGAAACAGTTGTTTTTTTTTCTCTCGTCATGGTTCTTCGCGCTTTGAGAGCAAGCTCATTCTTCAATTAGGTGTTATTAGATGGTCATTTATTTGGCCATTATTTGGTGATTTGAAACAACAACTCACACATATGCAAACCACCGACAATACGCAGACAAAATGCCCATAAAATCAAAACAGCGCTGGATTTTTTTTTCGTTGTTGTTTTTGTTGTTGCAAAGAGAAAACCTTGATCTGCGCTCACTTGGTAATCAATTAGCTAACGCCTAGTTTCCATCGTTTATGTCAGTGGCAAATGTTGTCAACGATGTTAACAACATCTTCTCCGACATTGTTCGCTTGAGGTTTCAATATTTATGACCGATTTTATTGTATCGCGCGCGCAGAAATCCACTCTTTCTTTTTTTGTGTTTTTCTTTGTTTATATATCTCTGTAAATGTCATGTTTAATCAGAAAGCCACGTGCTTGACGGCCACCGATATATTCAACGGAATGTTCGAATGTATTTGTCGCTGTGTCGAATGACGAAACGTAATATTGTCCCGTGGATTTCGTTCACTTCATTCCATTGTTTGTACACACAGTACACATGATTCCGAAAAAAAATCACATAAATCACAGTGCGATTTATCTCCATTTCCCTTTAAATTCGTATTAAGGCGGCGGCACGAGTCTTACTTCATTTCAACTAGTTAGTCACTCACTGTCAAGAAATATACTTTAGATAGTTGTTCCGTTTAATATCATTTCGTTTTTTTTTCCTTCGCCCGTACCATTTCTTTCCATATATACACAATATTGGATTACAGTAACGCACCGGAATCATCATCATAAAAACAAATGATCTGTTTTATACAATTAAGTTGATCCAAATGATGCGCTTTGATCCGTGATTAATGGAAACGCAAGCATTTCAACGAGATATCTAAATTGGTTAGCATTTGATATTTGATTTGATTGCGCGCATGCAACGGAATAAAACGAACGAATTGCCAGCAAATTATTATCCAGATAATTAATGCCATGAGATGAATTGTGAAATTTATTGGGCACGTTTTTGCGGCTATTTTCGTAAACGGATTTGTTTCTCTTGTAGAGTAATAACGATGATAAATGAACGACACATTTTAAATTCGGTAAAAAAAATTCGGTCAGTTCCGATTCACCTTAAGGTATAAGTATTCAATTAGCATCGATTTACATAAACATCGATCGCCATTGTTTTTAACTTCTTCTTTGTTTTTTTTTTCATTGTGAAGGTTAATAGACGAGAAATGGATACATCCAACATTTGATTATTGACGAAGAAAAATTATTCCAAAACCAAACGACTATAAATCTAATTTTATCCTACGTATTCCGTTCCCAAACAGTGGGGAATGGGTGTCTAAGGAATTTGATTTTTGGTATGTGTGGGTTTGGTCTTAACTCTCTCGAGAATAATAGAAACTGGTAATTACGCTTAATACAGTGTGCGGTCAATGTAACACAATCAAAAAAAAAAATACTGGAATAATGCAACGGGGATGGTCTGTGCCACGTGCAATCATCCGTTAGCCACTATCAATTTATTCATTTCGAATCAGAACGGGATAGCGTGGATGGTTTTTCATTTGAAAGACGTCGACAGCCGGTTTCATTTAGTTTCGTCTGTGCTCATGAAAAGTTGTCGATTTGAAGCGATACTAAGCGACTGAAAGTCGCACCCTTGAAAATGGACAATGTTTCATCGCCAAAAACTAATGATTCGGTAGATAGCGTAAAAGCAACCAATTTTTCATCAAGTTGTTTGAATTTTTTTTATCCATAGTGAATGCGATGCATAGCACAGCTCGATTTGATCGCAACAGGAGAAGTAATAAACGGAAATGCGTGTGTCTTCTGTGGCGCTGTGGATAATACAAAGCAGACGCTCGCTCGCTCGCGACTGTTACATCCAATAACCATTATTCACCATTTCGTTGCAGCTATTGCATGCAGTGCTCACTCTTAACGTATGCTGAGTCCCACACAATTGTTTGCATTTGTGAAGAATTTTTAGTGGCATTGCATCGAATGCGACGCTATTTTCGGCTACATTTAGAAGCTATAAAAATAACCACACAATAAATATTTGTCTCTTGGCAATGTCAAACAAAAAAAACACAGTCAAGTCGAAAGCAAGACTAGCTGTGACTCTTTATTGAGTTCCGATATGAGTGGTGATAGTTCGAAATTCAACAGAAATAAACCAAAAGGCCAACAAATATAATATCGGACCCAATCGACATGAAAAATATTCGGCTATATCATATAAATGTGGCAGTGATAAAAAGAACTATATCAATCATTGCGAACATATAAACAACATTAAACGAAACGAAGAAAACCCTCACCAAATCCAATCGGAAGTGCATACACTCACACACATGAGATGTTCTCTGGCGCAGCAGAGGCGAAGGAAGCATTTAATATATTAAATGCTCAGTGCTCACAGAGTGCTCATTCAATTTTGTGGAAGCCGAACTTAGCAAGGGCAGGAAGCACTGCTTATGCGATGCAGTGTGTTTTCTGGGCGAACAAAGTGAACCGAACGATTGAATAGTGGATGTATAGCAGACACACAAATCAATGAACGAACACATACACACAATGTTTGTCGGGCTCAACATGCATGCACCAGTCGGTTTCAATTCATTATGAGTGGAGAGAAAATCGTCTAAAATGCACGACAACGACAACGACAACGACGTATGAAAAGATGAACAACAAAAATAAAACAGCAAAAATTCGAGGGTTGATATATCGTTGAGGTTTGTGATGCGGCATAAAGTTCGTGCAGCGAACAGTGTAGATGTCGTAGTACAATGCGATTTGCCGGTTGCCGCTCATTCGTTTGCCCGTGCCATTTAGGCTGCATCGTTGATTTCATTAAATTCTATGCGACACAACGATTCAACGCCACTTTTCGAAAATATCAACCATGAAGAAAAAATAATAATTTTGGTCATTGGGTGAAAAAGAACTAGAAACGAACAAAAAAAAAAATTGGGAGAGCCAAAGCACGCACTTATCTATCTTGGCAAAAGAATGTCTGTATCGTGAACATGGTAAATGGAATAACATGCATTTAGCATAGGCGCACACTGGAAAAACCGTCGCATTGAATAGTATATCTACGTTTTTTTGGTCATGGCCAGATAACGTAAAATTTACAACAGCTAAGAATATATGAAGCGAAAAACAGAATCATTGAAATACAACTAAATAGAAATGCCGAACACACAATTAAATAGAAACTTCTCTTTCTTCCTTTGTGTAGCGAATGTGAAAAGAGTGCAGTGGTCGAGTTATCTTTTTAGGGCGAACTATTGGTTCAATGATAAATATTTTTCCACAACGTAACACCAATTTCATTCATCATTTTGGTCTCGATTTTGTTTTTCTGGTGACGGTGCAGTCCAAATTCGACTCATACTCGGTGAGTGGTGGATGTTGAACGAAAAAGTTGGCTAATTTAAGTTTTGTGTTGTGATCGTGTGCAATAGTTTCGAATGGACGCCAATGTCCAAGACATTCGGAAGTTTAGCTCACAAACAGAATTAAAAAGGCGAATCGTTGATTGATTTCAGAACTGCGATTGTTTTTCTCTCTTCCGAAGCTTCCGGTTCCAAGTCGGACATCCGTATCTATCATGGTTCGACGAATGTCATTGGCAGCTGTACTGAATTGGGAATTGGATTCGTGTGTTTGTTTGCAAGTGTGCATTCAAACTTATTGCATCCATGTATAGTAGCAGCAGTATGTAGTACCAAATGGTTTGATAAACGATGCAACTTGCAATAGCTGCAATGTTTTGTAATGTCACCTCATTCAACGAACAGCTACAGCAACAGCAACTCAACACAAAATTGCACTAAAACAAACATTTGTATTGAGCACATGAAATTATTATCAGGTGACTTATGTTATACGTTTTGCTGGCAAACACTCGCTCACTTTTCTACCGTCGTTCAAGTGTTTTACGCTATATTCCCAATCAATTGATTATTCCACTTGGCTCATGATACACTGCAGTGAGTCACTTGAGACCGATAAGATGTATTCATCATAATGTTTGATGGAAAGATGAAAGGAGTTTCCATGTAGCGAAAATATAGTAAATGGCGAGGAAAACATGAAAAATTCGTTTCGAGGATAAGAAAAAAAAAACATGTAAGTAGACAAACGGGAAGAAGAGCTCTTTTGTCACTTCGATCAGCTATTATGTGAAAATGTCGTAGCAAGAAGAAGAAAAAAACGTCGTCTAAAGCCAATTCAATGAGATAAAAAGTTGCAAATTCTGTTTGTGTCTTGTCATTTGAAGTGTATATAGCTTGCATGTGGTGAAGTGCATCCGGTGGATGACCTCTAGCTTAGCAGTTTATAAATATAGTCGTTATTTGTATCATTCGATACGCTTTCCAATGGCTTCATTCACTTCGTTTTGAATACATCAAGAAACGCCGGGTTCATTGCAACATCTTCACGCGATCATTGTTCCACACACTCACACAAAAGCACATGCATCGAACGAATGGCAAAAAGTTTCGAGGAAATAATATTTCACCACATTTTTTTCGCGTCGTTCCAAAATAAGAACGGTTTGCACCGTTGCCGAAACATTCGCTTCGAGGAAACGAATTGGGTGCAATTTATTTTCGTTACATATATGGAATTTCAAGCATGAGAATGTGAGCGGTTGAAGAATATTCGATTGAATCGAGAATGGTGTCAAATAAACGGTATGATTCCACTTACCATCGATGTTATGCTCAATTGACTTATCCATAATTGAGGTTCAGTGAAATTGTAATTTACGTATTTGGGTCACATATTATCACTTCGGCGGCTATCACACAACGAATATATAAAAAAACGAATAGAAAGCACTATATATCGACGTAGATATATGGATGATAAGGGTTTTTTTTCGTATGAAACTTTCTACTGCACAACGCGAATTAGCTCTCGAACTCTCTTGACTGAATATTATTTTCCACGCAGATAAACACTGAAAAATTACTGTAAATTATCACTAATTATAACTTGCTCAAACTTCTCTCTCCCTCTCTCACACACACACACACACACTCTTTTCAATTTTTTTTTTTGTTTTCATTTCGATGACGATTACAATAAAATGATTCGGTTCTTTGTTGCTTGAGCCGATCGTTATTGCGAAATTATATTAGATGCATGAAGTCGAGGCTACGCAGTGTGTACAAGTGTTATGATTTCGACGGTTGATGCATGTTACTACGCGATGTGCGATGACTTCATCAGTTGGGCAATTTAACCGTTATTTTCTTCGACTGCCGACACTTCATTTCGTACGAATTAAAAACGAACGAAAGCAACAATGGACACACAGTCAAATGAACTCATTCGATAACGGCGTGCGCTTGATTCTATTTGTTTTGATTCGTGGAGATTTTCGTTTGTTGTGCTTGTGATTTTGCTTTGTGCTTGCTTTGTGCTTGCTTTGTTGGCTCACTTGCGCGCGTGTTTTGTGCGATTTTGTATTTACTTTGCACCAAAATCACAAAAAAAATAAACAGAAAAGGTAAATAAACGAGTGAAAATATTGTTGCTCGCTGCATCCAGTCAGAAACAGGGTTTGTTTCATTCCCTTTTTCGTCCATTGTACATCAATCTAAAGTGCCATGTTGTGCGGCGCACATACAACAAAAACATGATCTTGCGATAAATGCCGCGCGCGTTTATTTTATTTTCTCGTTTCTTTCATCGTTTGAACAATGATTATTATTATTGAAATTTCATTTAAAGTACAACACGTACATTTTGGAATTGAAAATGCAAAGAAATGGAAGAAGCAAAATGGAGAAAGAAGTGAAAAAAAACGCGCTGCTAAAACGGTTGTTATGCTTGCTTGTTGTTTTCAAAACGTATACGGTCTTTTTTAAGGCGTAATGTGCTCCGTGTTCTAGTTCGAAAATTGAGTCGTTTAAAACAATTAAATATGCGTTTCGTGTACGAATGACAGCCACAGAACAGCAAAATAAGAAATGGTAACGATCGCAATCGGTGTCGAAGCGACGCGCTTTTTAGTGACATCTAGCACTGGTGTTGACTGGTCGCCAACAATAACATTTCAATACCATACGAAAAAGAATGTACATACACAAAAAGAAAAGAATAGAAATTAGTGCGCACAATTGTTATTTCGCGATCGCACGCCCTGTATGAGAAAATCGAATGAATATTTGAAGAAAAAAAAATGCCTTTGTATGTAGAGAACCATGCAAACATTCACACAATAGTGAAATGATTTGTGGTGTTTGCAACGATGATGACGACGACAACTACAACAACACACACGCCAATGATCAAGTGAATCAATTTTGCGGCTAAGACGCAATTACACTCAACGTTCTCATAAAAAATGAATTGCACAGACCATTTCCAAACGATTTGTATATAAAGATCAAACTAAGATTTTTTTTGTTGTTATCGAAAAAATCGGTTTGTTTCTTCTCTTTTAGCTCCTTCTCAATTTCAAACTTGAGAAATTTCTCTTTCTTGATCGATGCATTCGGTTCAGAAACAATTGAATCGAGTAGAAGATTCGAAGAAGAAATAATTCTCTAAGATCATTCCACAATAATAATGATGATTATTATTTTTCCATTTACGTTGCAATGAGAATTTTTTTTTGAAAAACGAGCGAACGAACGAATGAAAGAGGTATATTGTTGGGGTTTGCTTGGGCCCAACGTAATATGCACACGGGAATCCGGTGACTTTCTTGAATTGGCTGAGAACGGTGGATGTGCGCGCGTGAGCTCCAATCATTATCATGTTTGTAATTCAAGTGATTGTTTTCGCTGTGTTCTTTTTTTTCATTACTAGACATTCGATTATACGAGCAGAGCGGAGAATGTAGACGAAACGTGAATCCAAGCGCCGCTTCTTTTTTTATTATTAATTCAAAGTTTGAATTTCAAACATTCTTCATAACTCTTACATTGTTTTTTTTCTCGTTTCGTTCCGTACGATCACTTCGAACAAATTGTGGATAAATTGCACGTTTTGTACATTTGAGCGGTTGCGGTTATTAATGATGATTTCAACAACGAATATGGGTTAATTTGGATTATAATTCAAAGCATATGCGTTGCGATCTCTTGTTAAAATCGTGTAACCAAGTCCACTATAATGATCGTTCGTAAAAACATTTGGAATACTAATTTGCGCCCACCGAGATTTTCTGGCATAATTCTTCGTTGCCACTGTGATTAATAAAAATTGAAAAAACACACACACACACACAATGTGAAAACCAATTTCCATTTGGAATGGATTTTATATGTTCATTTTGGTTTTAATTGAGTTCTTGTTAGCAGCGACAGATCAGCTGGTCGTTTCTTTGTATGTCACACATATTTTATCTTTTAAACATTGACATTATTCAAAGTCAATTTTTTTGTTTGTTTGCTTGATGTTCTCTCTCTCTGTCTATCTTTGTCTCTGTATCTGTCTCTGTCTTTGCCTATGTCTCTGGAGACACCGAAAAGAAAACGCACAAATTAGTCGTAAAAAACAACTGTCAAATATTCACAGTTCCGTAAATGAACGTTTTCCCATTCTGACAGTACAGCAAAACATGAAAGAAACAGAAACATCTAAGACATTTTCTAAGTCATGTAGAAAAGCCCGAACACATGAAGTTATAACAGAAAATATGAGTTGTAATTAAATTGACCTTCTCGATTCACACATTTGTTTCTCTCTCTCTCTCTTCTCTATTCGTTTTGTTCATTCGAACTTTTATTATCCAGTGTGGTTGGTTTTCTTCACATTCATTTCCATTTCTTTCGAATCTCGTATGCATTGTCTATAAATGTATTCCATCTGAAAATTCCAACGGTGTGTGTTTCATTCATTTTCGACACATTAATAATTGTGGTTGTTTTTCTGGGTTGATTTGCGTACACACAGGTTTCATTGTGAAATTGTTCAGTGTTGTTGTTTTTTCGTAAGTATTTTCAATGCGAAACAATTGTAAGTGTGGCCAATCGTATAATAAGGCCAACCAGAAAGTGGCCGCACAATCAGTTGAATCAACGAATGAACGGACATTCAAATTGTACGAAAACCATACATTATAGTCATTATCGTGTGTGTTGCGGTGGAAAAAAGTAAACTTTTTAACAGTTTAGCACTAAAAAAGGAATGAATAAATGAATATTCATGAAAAAAAAGACGAATAAAATCACACAAAAAATGCCGAGAAAAAGAGGGAGCGAAATCCAAGCAAAAACATCCGTCAAATAAAGTGATCGTGATATTTTATCGTTTTGTTTTATGGGTTTTTTTTCCTGGCTTTCGCAAAAATCACAAAATCATGCAAATAGAATGGCGCATCAGATACGCTAATAACAGTGTCCCGCGAGCGGTGGTCAAAAGCAACTGAGAGAGAAAAATTGAGCAAAATCAACACACTTCACTAAATACAAAAATCATGGAACACTTTTCAAATTTATCGTATTGGATCCCTTTTCTATTTAAGATTCGTCACACAAAAATATCCAACTAAATTTATTATTTCGGTAATTTTATTAGCGCGTCGTCACCAGAACAAAATGAAATTGGTTGAAAGAAATTACAATTTTTCGTTGTTGTTTTTTTTTCGACGTTGAGGAAGACCGTGAAAGGAAGAAAGAAAAAAAAACACTGATTCGTACAACTAAACCGTGTCTCGCGAAGTCCGTAGCAATAGAACCATTTCGATCAACTGATTCAAGAGTCGCAAACAACAAACAAACTAGTTGTAGCACTGATGCGGTTGCCGCTCTTCCAAACAGCCCAAGCCTCTGTGTGTCGTACGCGTTCGCGTGTATGAGTAGAAAAAAATCAGCTTCAATACGTCGGTCGCTGTGTCTGCACAGTGTACAGCGGTATTGCGTCTTCTATTGATGCTATTTGCTTGAGCACATGTATCTGAGTGTATGTGTGTGTGTGTACAATGTACATGTGTATAGTTTCCACTCAACACAATAGTTTTCGCATCAGTCTGCTTTCATTTCAACACCCGTGTTCAAGCGGCTCCGGTCGCTTTTGTCGTTTTACTATCTTTTTGGCGCGTTAAAGTGTGCATCACTCAATCGAAATTTAATAACGAACGTAATCATAACAATGGGCGAAGAAGAGCATTCGCACTCGCATTCACATTCGCACAGCCAAAGCGGTGTGTGTGTGTGTGTTGATGTAGTGGTTTATTTTTAGTGTCGTTGGTCTCGGCATTGTTATTGTTGTCTATCTTGTGCGTGTGTGAGAACATGAGTACATGTGCTCACATCAAAGCCAAGAACATATGATGACATAGATCTGTGTATTCATTCAAGAGAGTTGATCATTTGTTATAGCTCTGCCCTGCAGGCAAAACCCAAAATTTCACTCTAAAACCGGCATTTTAGCATAGTGAGAAATACATTCTCTACGACACATTCGGAGCACATTCACGACAAAGAAAATGAGCTCACTTTTTTCTTCGTTACACTTTTACACACGGGATCATCAAATTGGATCGCTTTTGTTTCAGTTTTGCCACACAATAAATGTGTGTGTAACGTAGAGAGGGTACTTCTATCACGGCAACGAGAACATTAGTTTTATCTTCCCCGCAAATGTGGTGACGGTATGGCCGAGGAAAAAAATATATAGTTTAGCTGGCAGTGTATTAGTTTCAACTTACTTTATAATTAAAAGCAGATTGTTTGCTTGCATCGGCATCGGTTCTCTGTGTATACGATGGAAAATGAGTTTGTTCGCAAAACAATGCGTTGCATACGGTTTCTCTTGTATTTCACTTTTCTATTGTCTCTTGCTTTTAGCATGCTATATAGCTGGAGAATGACGGAAGAAAAAAGAAAAATCATCTGTGACACAAACACTGGAATGCTTTTCTTTGGCTGAGAAAAATGAATGCTCAATGACACACAACTCGATGGTTCTTATACGAAGAAATGCGAGATTTTTTCAAAGCGATTGCCTGTTTTGTTCAGAGAGAAGAAAAAAAAAAACGCCGGCACCAATAAGAATGTCATTCTTCAATTGCATGTAAACTGAAATCGGTAAATTAAGAGCGCTTGCGTTCTGGTTTTCTCACTTCGAGAGTGGAACTTAAACGTTTCTTCTTACGGTTACTCGACGGCACTTGTGCACAGGCGTCATGACATTTTTTCAAACAATCGCATGCAATTCATTTTGGATTCAACTTGCGGCTAAGTACAAAACAAAACGGAAAAAAGCGAAATGCCATTGAGCAAAAGAAAGGCCTTTCTTGCGAAAGTACACATTTTTCTGTTGTTTATTATAAATCGGTAGGGCTTCTTTTGGGTTCACATAAGCCACTCGTTTTTTTTCTTAGCTCAAATTGCATTTTACAGTGTTTATGCGATTGCCACTCATTGCGAACATAAACACCAATAATTGCGTGGGTCATTAAAACAATTAGTGTCGATCAACGGCGGCTCAAATCACGCTTCTGACTACCACAATTATGATTGATCGATCACAGTCTCATTTGAGTTTCTTTCTGGTCAGCCATATTTTTTTCGATTCGTTTCGTTTCGTTTACAAAAATCAAAATCGTAAATTGTTGACGAGATGTAACGTTTATGTCTTTTCAATCACAGTTAAATTTTATTAATAACGTTTACGCAGGCATTTGCTTTCAAATTGAATTTATGGCTTCGAAAGAGTGCATCGGATTTGTATACACTACCACGCACGCACACGCACAGCAAAAACAACTTTTGTTTCAACAGTTCGATGAATTAAGGTTCAAAGATTGCGCTTGTTTAAAAAAAAATTGTGTGCCAGTTGCTTGGGAAATGTTCAATTAAAATTGAGCTCCTACGCGCAAACAAGAGGCGAAATTGTTTCAACGACAATGTGATTTTATCACACAAAACCCGATTTCAAGCAACAACAGTAACACGAACGAGAGAAAAGAAAAAAAGGTTTCGAAATCGGTTAATCAACGAATTCAATCAAGCCAGAGTCTAATAATTTAGCGCAAAACGGCCCAAAGCAACAAACTGGTTTTTTAATAAGGGTTTTTTTTCTGCTCAAAAAATGTTCTTCTAAAATCGCAGGCCATTATCATTCATGTTTCACAAAATTTATTATTAAAATCCTGTCATTTTAGCATATTTATCTCGATTGGCATAACCTTTGGCGTAATTATGGTACGATTTTAATAATCAACTTTGGATCGGACCGGATGCATTGGTAATTGAGAATTGTCTGTAACGAAAATCGAAGACAACTTATTCAAATCAACTTCGAACTAACATGCCTGTATTGAGTTGGAAATGCAACATTATTCCACACGCCTAGTTCAATTTATTGAAAATTCATGACTGATTTAACCGATATATTGAATTTATTAGTCACGCTATCGCATTTCCCACAGTCGAAGCTGCGATTATCTAAGCCGCAATGGTGTTTTCTTTTTGGAGAGAAAGAATCAATTTATCCGCTTATAGTATTCAAATTGAGAGTTTTATGTCTACGATTGATGGGCAACCAACGAATATTATCGAGATTATGGAAAAGAAAGACGGAAGAAATGCAGCCATCATTCAATGTACCAAGATAAAAGAGGTGATCGATGGAGTTGAAGTCAGCATATTTCCATGTTTTCTTGTGGTGCAGCGCAAAAAGTGCATGGGTTTCATTCTCACACGACTACAACGTTGTAATAGAGAGACAACAGGTCAATATGCAGACATCGTAAGGAAATGCTGATAGTGAACGCGACCACAAACGTCAAATGCAATGCGATGAAATGAAAGCACCAGCAGAACAACTTGTAGCTGCATACACACGGCATCATGGATATAGATACATGACGCTAAGCGAGCAATGACAGCGAGCAGTGGCTGAACAGAATTTTAACCGCAATATAGAACGCACAAATCGCCGTTTTACCAATATTCCTTCATGCTTACATTTTATACGATTGTGAGGCATGACGAAAAAACCGTCGAGCTTACGATCAAACACAAGCACAAGCACAAATGCAAATGTAAATGCAGAACATTGTTGGTTTTTTGAAAAACCGGCTTCGCGCGTTAAGAAGTGTTGTGTGTGTTTCAGCAACGACAATAAAAAAAACCAACCAACCAAAGCCCAACGGAAAACAGAATGAAAAAAAAAACAACAAAACAAACTACGCTATACAAAAATGATATGGGAGAATTAAAAAAAAAAATTATAAAAGCTGACGCTGCTGTGACTCTGTGTAGATGTCTCGAGTGCCATTATGTTTCATTCACTAGCTAATGTTTATGGTTAACATTTGATACGAATGCGATCGCATTTGGCTTCATTTTAATGGGAAATAAAAACGGAGTTATTCTTTTCTCCATGTTTATTGAAAAAAAATATTTCTTAATAAGCAACGCTCGCACACCAGATTATGAATCTCACACAGGCATTGGACACGGAGATGGATCAGATCCACTTGAGCTAACAGACAGTAAATTATCGAAACACGTATGAAATGTCTGTTAAATTAACATTTAATTTGGGAGATTCGTGTAGAATGAATTTCATTGAGATTTTTTTTTAAATCCCCCCCAAAAATATCCAAACCAAACACAAAACGATGGACGAGAAAAGAAGTAAATTAAGAAACGAAAGAATGCATGCAATATATGTAATTGTATGGAGTGTACATAAAGGTATAAAGAAAGTGTTACTTACAGAAAAAAAATTCTTTCTTTCGTTAATTAGGATGCCAAGATCTGGTTTCTCTCTATCTTTCTCTCTTTCTCTTCGATGTAATCAAACAAAAAACATTGTTGGTGTGTTCAGCCGCTTCAACAAGTACATTGAGTAATGTTTATAATACAACGGTCGTCGCCGTTTGGTCGGTCCATACACTTTTAAAGAACACGAAACAAAACACGTTTCTTATTTGAATTTGTTTTTGTTTCTTCGAAAGATCGTTTCAATCATTTGATTTATATGAATTTCACTTCGAATTCCCTGTTTTTAACCCAAATCCATACACTTTCTTCGAAGTTAACAGGTCATTTTTGCTAATGTTTGTTGTAAATTTTGACAGTCAGTATCACTAGCACGGAATTTATTAATACACACGGGAACAAGATTTCCATAAATGAATTGTCAACTATCGATTTTTAAATACCGAAAAACCAACGCAAAAACACTTTCACGACATAAATCAATCGATTGGAAAATAACACTAAATGTTCAGCCTTTTAGTATGACAATATTTAAACGGAATGGTTCGCGTATTTTGTTAGTTAGTTTGCCTTTTTTGACTCTTTGAACAAAATTCGTATTCAAAAGTAAGAGACGCACACAAATTTATAAGCATGTATACGCGCTTACACCAGCACAAAACCAACTGAATTGTAAAAACAGCGGCAAAAGACTGAGGAGGACAGACGATCGTTCATTATGTTTATGCACACACGGCACAGTGCAGCGAGTTTCTGGTTCTTGAACGAACTTGTGTTGATGTTCATTGTTGTTGGTGGTGCTTATTTTTATTTATTTTGATTTTACCTCTTCTACCTTCATTCTCTTTTACTCGTTCGAGAGATGTTTACGTGAGCATTGTGTAACGATTGGCCGTGTTGTGTCGATATCCCATTTCACACGGTTCTGTTTGTATTTGTGCTGAAAAGAGCGAGAGAGTGAGAGATTCGTTTTTTTTACTCTCTGTGTAAATATTCTCTGGCTTTTTTGTTTTATATTCTGTTCGTCTCGCATCAATTTATTCATGTAGCAAATGTTCCCGTTTCAAGTGCTTATGCGAGACACGATCAACAAGTATATCATCAACGAGTTTTCTTCTGTGTGTCTTTTGTTGTTGCAAAAATCGATCCGAATATCTGAATTGGAAATGGAAATGGAAACGTATGCAATTTTTGTTTTCGGAACATTTTGCGCGACACTGATTCGCTCCAATGGGTTTTTCGAATTTAAAACAAGGTATTGTTTTTCGGTTCATGGGAGCAGTTTTATTTCTCTAAAAAAATTAATTCATGGTCTAAAGCAACAACATATTCTAATTAATACGGCCGTTCTCTGAACCAAGCCGTGTAGTTGGCTGGCGTAACATTTTCGTATTTCTCCTTTTCTGCCTTCTGTTCATCGTTGGAATAAACGACACGATTATCGGTATTTTTCTCATGTAATCCTCTTAATCCGTCTTGAGCGGCTCTTTCACGTGCAATCAATGCCAATGATTCAAACGTTTTTGGCTCCCATGCCGCCAAATCAGCCAATGATTTCCTATTAACCAGATTTTTCAAGCATTAGTTTTCTTGAATAGACACTGAATCACCATTATTATTGTTACACATACCGATTCAGCATAATGTTGCTTCTTGCAAGCCCTTCACGGAACGCAGGCAATTCGATTCCAAATTGATTGCATGCAGCCGTTATACGTGCATCACGCAACTGACAAAAATAGTCCAAATTCAGTCATTTTTAAGTCAATCGAAATTATGGATTTATAAATTTTGATTTACCTCATGCATATCTTCTTTCTTGAGCTTACGCGCCTTTGTTGCATACACCAGGGCACGGTGAACATCCCGGATGGCGATTGAATAACAGTTACGACGACGACCGAAAAAATGCTAAAGAGAATTGAATATCATAAGAAAATCGGTCTTTTTATTTTGAAGTAAAATTTTGTATGCGAAAAAATTTGATGAAAACAATTACCGCAGTCAATTTGAAAATTTTCCTCTTTCGCCAAAACTCATCGGGACCTTTGCTTCGAATTAAATTGGCCACTGTTGTGAATACCATTATGACAGCTTCAAGAAATGTTGGCTTCCCCCAAATAAAATTCACAATCTCAATTCCAAAATTCAATGGAATTAGTTTTAGTTTTGTTTTTAATCAATTTCTCGGTAGTTCACGTTAACCAAAAACGATGAACCTAACCTCAAAATACGGCTGACACAAATGTGACAATTCGACTATGAATGCTCACGCTCACGTTCACGCTAACCGTGACTGCTGCTTGGTATATCAGTTTTTGGGCTATATTGACATCTGCATTGTTTATACGAATCGTTTATAAGCATCGAACAACCCAAATTCAGTCATTTTTCGTTCCAAATACACGAAACTTCTAGAATTTTCATTTAAATTTGAATAAGTTTACCTTAGTACTAACGTTGAACAAGATGGTATCGCAAGTGGTGTGCGTGATTTGTTCGATTTTGCCCGTGCAGCATACAACAGAAATAACTTTCTACAAATTTCCAAAAAACACAGAACGCTCAGTCTTATACAAGGCTTGGAAAACAGCATTGCTTGATGTATTGGCCAAAGAGCGTCCAGAACTGTCGGACGATGCTAGTTTGAATGATACCTACATTTGCAGTCGACATTTTACTGCTTCCGATTTTTCGTTCGACAATGGAAAACTGGTGTTGAAGAATGAATCCGTTCCGTCGCGCATCGCAAAAGATCTCTACGAGGTAGCTACTTCCGAGAAAGTGGACAGCATTTTACCCAAAGAATATGAACCGTCGACGCGTACAAACAACTTTGCATCGACATTGATGAAGGACTTTGTTACAACATCCCATCACAATCTTCGCTCCGATCTTATTTCTACGGAAACATCACGAGTGCTAACGCCAACTGTCAGCGAATACATTACGTCACTTACGAAAATGGATGGAAAATCATTTGCCGATGCTACGAGCGACAAATTCAATGAGCATAAGCGTCGAATTGATTTGGAGCATAAAATCGAAACTTATGGCAAGATCTTCAAACGTTTACGTAGTGATAACCTACTGACTGAATCTTATGTTGATGAACTTAAGGTAATACTTTCGTTTTCACATCATTTTTTGATGAAATTTATATTTTTGTGAATTTTGTCTATTTACAGGAACAAATGCCGGAAATGGAACAACTTTTGAATGAAGCGTTGAAGACTGAATGAATTAAACTGTGAATTGACATTGATCTGCTCTCCAATCGTTGCGAACATACTTACACAAGCACCATCCCCATGGATCAGCTCAATAACACAGAAAATATCATAAATAAATCATTTTTCGAAAGTTCTTAATTGAAATAGCTTTAATTGAAAAATATCATAATTTTACAGTAAAACACACGAAAATTCCTTTCATACAAATATAGTCATTGACAGTTTACGTGAATAAAAACGGTAAATTTCATCGAAAAATTTATATTCGATTGGATTGGATTGGATTTTTTCATTTTCTTCTTCTTAATTTAAAATCATTTGTACATCGAAATTTAAGAAAAATACGAGCGTGTTATTACTGCTATCAATTGAATTAGTCTATGGATCGACGAAGGAAATCATAATATAACGAGTTCCACTCGTTGTTCTCAAGCCTTCGTGAAAGTGTGTCAGGCGTCCGGGGTGCATAAGCATCCATCCTTTTTGTGTTGCTGTCACCGAGCAATTATAGCGTAAGAAATGGCATCCACCACCTTCGTAATCAACTCCAACAGTGTTCAATGCAATATTGATGGTATAAGTGGATGAGTCATGATGTGGTCGCAATGTTGGCTGCTCATCTGGTCTGTAGCGCACAACGAAATTCATAATTGATCGTACTGGATTGTGATAGTAGCCCATGAAAACTGCCTCCTGTAATGGTCGCACGTATTTGTTTAGGAAAGTTAACCAGACATTTTCCAAACCGACTTGCGACATGTGAATATCACGTGTTGGAACTGCTTCATAGCCGCCATTCAAGCGTTCATCGTGATTCGTACCATCGGACCATTTTCCAAAGGTTTCGACAATTTTTACCAAATCATCGCAGAAACGTTCGTTAGCAACTGGGAACCAATAGACATCGGGACACGGTTGCTTATATGTTTGATTCGGTTTCAATTGATTGATGTAGTCACGGTGTAAGTATCGGTTCTCCCAATCCATTTGATTTGTAATCAACATGTAGAATTCTGGGTTTGTCAACGCTGGGTTATAGTCTTCATTGTTCACCAAATGACCGTAATATTCTGCATTGTAAACGTACAAGAAAATTTGCTAAGAGAAAAAAAGTGAAAAAAAAAATTGTTAAAACTTTCATTATTATGAATGGACAAAATGTGGATAAAATGCGTTTCTCAAAATACCTGAGCTCGTAGATTTTTGCACATGGCCATATCCGGATCGACATCATCATCGGCGTAGGTGATTTTCGGGAAGACTGCTTTTTTGATCAGGTAACACGATGAAATGAATGGAACGTTCCATAAACCGCTATTTTTAGACAGAAAAAGAAAAAAAACATTCGAACTTTAGACTTTGTTTATCCAACATGCGACACGAGTCTTTAAGTTGCCAATAAGGCACAATTCAAAAATTATTGACTATCATTATTATATGGTATTTGCCTAAAATAGCATCGCCTTCGATGGAATATTCCAAATACCGCTAGTAAGTTCGACTCACATCAATCTCCCACCCAAAATGCCCGGTGTATGCAACTTGAATCGCGCTTGTATTATGAACATTTCGACATTTGTACACAAATTATTCAATAAAAATTGATAAGCCACACTGTAATTTTCATTGAAAACATTGTCGACCAGTCAACGGGTACGTATCAAGTGGATTCTACTGTGGTTTAGGTCAGTGTCGTCAATGAAATGCCAATTGCCAGCAATTCGATTTCGAAGCAAAATTCAGTAGTGGGCTCACTGTGTGCGCACCGACGCTTCGGCTCTGGTTCATAAATTGAATTTCCTGATCAAACGAAAAGGGGTACCGAAACACAAACGAGTGAAATGCTACATCGCAAATATGATGGTGTCGTAATTTGATCCATTCGTGCGAAATACTCGTGTCTGTAGCAATATCACAATTGAAAATTACTTGATCTCATCGCAAACACACACACACAGACCGATACGATGATTTTAAGTGCGCCATAATCCATAAGACTCATTGCTATTCGTTGTGGTGTCACACACAGAGATTGCGATTTACTCACCAAGATCAGCCACATATTTCCAAGTCATTGTCGAAAAACTCATCGAAAGACATCCAAAGGCTAAATATAGTTGGTATGCCATTGATTGTGTCACATTAGCTGATTGAATCCAGTGCCAGAAGCAATCAGCGCCGAGACTCAGTGCCGAGTGGTCAGTGTGTCAATTGTTTTGAAGCTAGTTCCCTTTTTTTGGGTGGAAAAAGTGCGAAAATAATCATGAATCGAATCAATTGGATAGTGTTATTTGTGGTTTTGTTGGTGATTTTCTCACAAGATGTGACTGGCCGACGTGGTCGTGGCAGAGGACGCTCTAGATCAAGAGTAATTTTATTCTTGGAATCAAACTCAAGTTGATCAGTTTGTCATTTGTGTTTCTCTCTCGTTCGATTAGGCGCAAATTGGTTTACCAATCACAGGCAAATACAGAGATCCAGAGTCTGATCAGTATTACAACAACAACAATGTAAATATATTAGAAATGAATCCAACTTTACAGTCATATTTATCACTTCCGTCATTTGACAGGGTGCGAAAATATTGCAAGCATCACATTTTGATTATGAATACGTGTTGGGCCATAAAATCGCATTTTTATGCGTTGCCATAGGGAATCCACGACCACACATCACTTGGCTGAAAGATGGCTCGGAAATTTTCCAACATTTGTATATGCACGTACGTATCATCGTCATCATCAATTTTGCCAATTTCTAATTCCCATTTCACACTCTACATACCGCTACAAACATTTCTTTGTTCTCTCTGTCATAGTGGGAACAGAGCATTGAAATAAATTGAAAGTAATTTGCCGTTAATTTTCCATTTTTTTCTCTCTCTATTCCCGCTGCTTGTTCAAATGACGCTTCATCATAATAATTCTTACTCTGGTGTGTTTGTTTGTTTGTTTGTGTGATTTGTATTCCGTTAGGTACACGAGTGGCGAATAGGCGATGATAAGGTCAAATCGAAAATTGAAATTGATCCGGCCACACAAATGGATGCTGGCGTATACGAGTGTACAGCTGACAACATGTACTCTATTGACCGTAGGAGTTTCAAGACCGATTTTTCAATTGCATTCGATTAAGAATGGATCTAACGACGTCATCAAAATCTACAACGACCTTTTTGCGAAAGAACCAGCGGTTTCGATATATATATATACACACACACAATCATACGACAACAAATTTATCCAAACGATATAAACACTTTTCAAATTTATATCAAACGGATTCTCGAACGAACGTTTGTTACCCGCTTTTTTCGAAAATGTTTTCATAATAAAAGGTCTGCAGAGATTTTTAGCCAAAACAAAAAGAAAAAAAACTTACCGAATTTCATTTTTGACAATTTGCATGTAGTCATGCGATCGTGCATAGAAACCCTTCTCACTCAATGATCCCCAGAAATTGCTCCACGACGATTCGTAACGCGTCATCACCGGTGCAATTACATTACTGTCAAACAGAACAAAATGAACAGAACATTCATCATTCAATTTTATGACTTGCTTACTGATTAAATTCGGTACTAAATTATGTTCGGTGTTAAATGATACAAGTGCAAAAAACCATAGATTTTTCAGCAAGAGATGATTGGCATCTCTTGAATAAATTCTATTCACAAAGTTCATAATATTCATTCGACTCACCGATTTTGCTCAACCAAGCGGATCAGGGTAGATGGGTTATCTATGTGGGCTTCAGCATCGACAACAAACAAATAATCGCTTCTTTCACGTTCGGCATAGTTCCTGCAATGAATAAAGTGCATAAATATCATGCAAACTTTGAAATTATATCGAATTTTTTCTTGGCAACATCTTGAATCAGCAAACACTTACACTGCCAAATTGCGGGCGATTGCTTCCTTGTACGAATCAGTGTGTTTGATTTGTTTTGTACCTGCATATGTAGCGCCATGAGTCTCGAGGAAGGTTTGCACCAATTCATCATGGTATTGTACCTAAATAGTTCACGGAGAAATTATTTTTAACGTTCTGTTATTTTCACTCTCCAAACCATTTTAACATACATTATTATAGATGAAAATGTTTAGCTTCTCCTTTGGATAGTCCAGTGCCAAAATGGAATCGAAGAACTCTTCAAGGAATGGCGTTGCATTTGGAATGGCAACTGCAATGGTAACTTTTGGCAAGTCTTCTTGTTTCTGGTGGAAAAGCAAAACATAAGCATTAAACGTAATTAATTATTCCCGAATTAGCGGATAAATTAATCGGAGATGGAATTTCAACCAAAAATTCTACCTCTGAATAGTCCAATTTATTCTCTTGACAGAGTTGGCATTCGTTGTGTTTGAAGGCACCGGCCACATATCCACCGAAATTGTTCAACAATATTTTGCTCGGTCCATTTCCATGGATCAGACTTGGTGTCGAATCGGATTGAATATTTTTAATGAAATATTCGCCAGTGGCTTCGTTGTACTGTACTCGAACATCACCCGAAGCTCCATTCAAATTCTGGAAGATTTCCGACTCGTGATCCAGTTTGATTTGTAACTTTTTGCGAATGCTTGCGTCTAAGAATGCTTTGGTGTAGTAAAGTTGATCGTCGTCCTTATTTTTAACTGGTATGCTCAACATTTCATACACATTCGATGCATAACCTGGAGAAAAAAATTAAATTTTTTAATTTTTTTTTTAAATAAAATTCAATTTACAATTGTACCCATAAACAGTCCCGAGTTCAAATATTTTGGCAAGTGTTTCGAAACGGTTGGATACAAATGCTCCACAGTTGTATCAGGCCACAGATACTTTTCTGCTCCGAATAAGATACGGGCATCGAATTTCTTGAATTTGTGCACTATGACATCGATAGTGGTAGTGAACAGCACGTCGTAACTAGGAGCCATTAAAATCATTTTAATTTTAATTAATTCTCATTTAAAAAGAGATTATTTTGACTGACGTACTGAAAAGTCTCACCTATCAGTAAATAAAATAATTTTTTGGTCGTCATTTTTGTACGGTTCAAGTGCTTCACGCAACAAATTAATTTTATATCCTCCGCCATAGCTCTCCATGGACCCGCCTTGCCATTCTTCATGCATACCCAATGTTTCCACCTAGTTAAACAAAATCAAATGAAATTAAGTCAAACAATTGTTTATTTTGCAAACTCTTACCTCTACATTGTAGTAATTGGCCGATCGAATGTATCGTAAATATCCTTCAGTGTCTTCCGATGCTACGGTGAACACTTTCACATCGAGCTCTGCAAAAAAAACAGAAGCAAATGTTTACTCAACAATAAGTATAATGATGCCTGTTGAATTGTGTCTTGTCAAAAAAATATGCGTAACATAATCGATTCAGTTTTTACCGAATTTGAATATATCAAAATAAACGAGTTTGTTTTCAATGCGCAGAATTAAAACGAAATAGAATCGTACTCAAGTACAAACGAATAGAAAATATAAAGACAATTTACAATTTTTGGAACTTCCACACTGATAAATTGGGCTCAATTGATAAGACATAAAAAGAGCAATTGGACGTCATTAGAAAAGAAATTTTGGGAGAATTTTTCATTGTCACATCATCGTTGGTGTCTGAATATTCAATTTAATAGTGTTGAACACTCTATAACTACTGAAAAATAAATAATAAGGGCATACTAATTAACTTTTATTTGAATCCAAATGAATTTTTTATCGCTCCCTCTTTTAAACCATTTTTCATTCAGTTATTTAACGCATGGTTTCTCATTTTCATTTAGAGAATCTGTAGTATTTAGTATAGCTTGTAGCGTATACCATGTTGTAGTATATATTTCAAAAGAGCGAAAGTAGAATATATTTGTTCGTGTGGTCAAATTAGGGTTTGGTCCAGATAACAGATAAGACTATCAAGTTTGAGTAGAAAAAAAGTCATGAGTTCACAATATTCACAAAGAACTCTGCTCTACTTGTTCGTTTTTGTTTAGAATTGACGAGTGTAGCAACAGCGAATATGCGAGAAAGAAGGATTCCCTAATAACAGTTCATCTGGTGTACGTGACTTGTGTGAGTCCACCATGTCGGGAAATCTAAAGATAACGCTACGGATGAAGTAAACGTAAAACAAAGTATTTTCTCCAGACACTTCCTGAACATGTGAAAGAGATTTATTTTGAAGATTGAGTGTGTAGTGTATGGACTGAATGGCACAGGAAATAATTTTATTCCATGCATTGATATGAGTTATTATTGAGAACAATTTGATTGGATTTTTTTGATTATTTAAAAATGAAAAAAAAAATTCTATTTATGGAAAAATGCTGTTTCTTTAGATGGTAGAAAAATGCCACCTGGCATCAGTCTCAAACATTTTCTTAAACAAATAATATGTAAATATAAAATAGTCCATTTTTGCACACAGAAAATGAATATTCTAATCTGAATCAAAGTGATTATGGCATCCGAAAGGCAAGTAGCCGACGAGCATCAACGAAAGTATCAATAATAGAAGGAAAAGTAGAACAAACCTCCTACATCACTGTCGACAATTTCATTGCTGTTTGCGTTTATCACATCATTTAATACTAAAAGTATGGCTCCAATAAGAAATGCAAATCGTGTGGTGCACACCATTTTGCTGGCACATTCAAACCAAATCGAAGAATTAGCTAATACAATTTCTACTGAATTGCATTTAAATACAAATACGTAAATGGTACAAAATATGTCGCGTGCAAACCGATTAAGTTGCTTATTTGCCGGTTCTTATTTCACTTTCAAAATGACACCGAAAAAAAAACCCAACAAACACACAAGCAATTTCCATTCAAATTACTTCACACAATTTTTCGTATGATCAGTTTTCCGTCTGTGCGAACCATTAGAACGTTGCAAAGAAACTAAAGCTGACGAAAGAATATAAACTGAATTTTTCGTCCAAACATTTTTAATTGCTATAAATGTAGTTGATCACAACTCAAATACACACACTCATTACGCGACTGTATATTTTTAGTCCATGAAATTCGTTTATGTTTACGAGTTGAAAAATCTAAGAAAGCTGAATGTATGTGTAAACGATGATGATAATAAATTTAAATATAAGTTCACATTTCTTCATGCGATTGTATTTCGTTCTATGCTATCGCTGTTTCCACGACGCTTTCCGAGTCATCAACTCACTTCATTAAAAAGTCGCGTGTGCTGTGTGTACGAAAATGATGGCGAATGTATCAACAAAACAAAGAAAAGAGAGCAGAAATTAAACGCTGTGACCGAGAAGAAGAGCACAGCAGCCGTCGCTGCAGAATGAATGAAAAAACAACATAGAAGAATGACGTTTCGGAATGTCATATGCAACGATATATTCTATACACAGATACACTGTTAAAAAAATCTCGTGAGGATTTCCTCCTTCGCGTTCATATACGATATGGGATATATGTGTGTGTGATGGTTTCACGAGCATGTTTAAGGAACGTTATTGTGGTAATGCGGCGTGAGTATGAGTTCACTGGGAAAATATTTGTTTTTTGTTCTTTGTGCAATGGGTAAAATGGAATTTTCACAAACCTTGTGTATAAAAGTTAAAATTCAAATTTTTTCGGCATACACTGCAATCGACTTCTGGCAACTGCGGACAGCTTTGTTCAGTACCATTGGTTCTACTGCACAGCACTAGTAAAATAATAATCCAAACGCACGAACTAGACGCACAATTCATTTCGGCCGAATTTCAAACTTGAATCCGCTAGGCTGCTGGTTTAAACACTACTGATCGATCTGAATAAATTTTTCGAAAATTACAATTCATGTCATTACAAAATACTGGAAGGGAAAATAATAGACGTTTTTTTTTCAATCGACACCAATTTTTATGTAATGACTGAATGATCAAAACTAGTGCAAATGTAATTGAATCGATTTGTTTTCGTGTCATAATGTGGAACGATGCCAAATTTGCAACACTTTCGCATTTGCATTGTGTCTTTTGAACCTTTGTCCACCGTTCAGTTCACTTTTCGTGTGGTAACGGTTCCAGCACCGTTTTCTATTGAATGTTTTTGGTTCATGAAAATTGGAACTTTTGCATAGGGGCCACGGTATGTTGAAATCGGTTAAAGTTTGACTAAAACTAGGGCTGGACTTATCAATGGATATTTTATTAATTTTTCGTAAAAACTTTTATAAGTTTAAACCTATAAAATAATTTGAGTTAGTTTTAAAAGCGTGAAAAATGAATTGAAATGGAAATTGTGTTGATTTTTTTTAATGATTCATGAATGCACGCATTTACATTTTTTTATAAACCAGTGTTTTAAAAATTTAATCAATCAATAATACCATTTTGATTAATTAATATATTATTCATCATGTTTCAACCAATGGCTTGGAATTACTACTATTGGTCACCTCACCAAAATGTCTCTTCAATTTTAATGCTCTAAGAAAACACCAGTCCTATTTGGAATTATGCTGAATGTAACAGCGTGTAAAGATCTTTTTAATTAAAACGCAACATTTCATGTAATAGCATTTCCTCAGTCAGACCATTGCTTTCGAACCTATCGATTTTAGCACAATTTATCTTTTTTTCTTTCTAACATTCAGTATTTCTTTTTTTGATTTTAAAACGATCTAAAGCAATATCAATATTTTAAACTACTCACGAAATCAGAGCCGACACTGAGACCTTGGTTTTATTACTCTGGAATATTTTTAAACTTTTCGAATTTTTCGAAAATTCACTTACTTATATAAAAATACAAAACTTGATGCATTCGATTGCAATTTGCAATTGATACTGTATCCTAGTAAAATGTGTGGTACATAAAGAAATATTAATCGAATTGCGAACGAAAGCAGTAAAAGTCCAAAACTTGTACAAATGTTGTAAACAGGGTGATACGATGTAGACGAATGTTTATTTTGTTCGCACAATTTAAACAAAAGGTTCATAATTGTTCAGTTTACACAGACTGCATTTGAACTGCGAGAACCAATCAATTTAATGCATGTTTGTACATTTTATTCCGAAAAATACGTTTTATCGTCGAATTTTTGCAATGGGTGGTTGAACGATTGACCTCTCATTTCTTTCAAGGTTGAAAAGAACAATTCTTCGTGTTTATTTTGAGGGATTGAGGAATTATTTGTAACTGGAGAATTTTGGACTTGAATAAAAAAAATCGAAATTGACTTGTACTGAGTATCAACGTATATGTTGGTAAAAAACTTACTTCCTATTAAAAGAAAATCTCTAGCGATACTATCGTAATTTTTTTCTTTGCAAACATTTGTACACTACCTTCGCAAAACAAATATTCTCCAAAATCGTGAAACAGAAGCTTGTAAATGGCTCCATGAAAAATAGACTCGAATTTTAAACGTGAAAAAGGCTTAAAAGTGATACTAAAAAAGCTGTCGATTTCTTGCGTGTTTTATGTGCGTTTATTCGGCTTTACTTCAACGAAAGCACTCTTCATGACTGCATTATGAAAAAAAATCAATCAAAGAGATAGCACAAAGGAAGATAAGATAAATTAATGATCAATTGTGATCGGTTCTATGTTCTGTGATGATATTTTTTATTTGTTCAAGGTATGTAGAGTAGAACTAATAAATAAAACTTATCAATATGTTCTTTCTCCGAAAAAAAATACGTCCCAATTACGAATAATTTGATAACAGTTCGTTAAATCAATGTTCTCTACGAAATTTTGATTTTCTCATTTTTTGTGCGTAAATTTGAGCTTTTTCTCTCGTATCTCATCTATGGATCGACGAATGTTACCATAATGTAGCGAGTTCCACGCGTCGTTCTCAAGCCTTCGTGATAATGAGTTGGATGGCTAGGATGCATGAGCATCCATCCTTTTTGTGTTGCTGTCACCGAGCAATTGTAGCGTAAGAAATGGCATCCACCGCCTTCATAATCAATTCCAACATTATTCAAAGCAATGTTTATGGTATAAGTGGAGGAATCAAGATGTGGTCGTAGTGTCGGCTGCTCTTCAGGTTTGTAGCGCACAAGGAACATTGCCGTTGCTCGTGGTCTTGGAATGCTATGGTATCCCCAGAATACGGCTTCCTGAAGTGGACTGACATAGTACTCCAAGAATTTTTTCCAAACTGGTTCCAAACCAACTTCGAATAATTCAATGTCCATTGTTGGAACAGCATCATAAGAGCCGGCTCTATTTGAACCGTGGCTCCATATTCCATAAGTTTCTACGATTTCAACCAAGTCATCGCAGAAACGTTCATTTACAATGGGAAACCAATAGACATCGGGACACGGTTGCTTGTGTGTTCGATTCGGTTTCAATTGTTCAAAATAGTCTCGGTGCAAGTATCGCTTCTCCCAGTCCATTCGATTTGTGATCAGCATGTAAAACTCGGGATTAGTCAGCAGTGGATTAAATTTGTCATTGTTCACCAAATGACCGTAATATTCCTCGTTAAAAACGTACATGAAAATTTGCTGAACGAAGAATGAAAGCGTTTTGGTACCAAATTTTGTCGAATCGAAAACCGAAATAATTTCAAAAATAAAAATACAGAAAATAAATGATTACATTTAAAATATACCTGATTTCGTAGGTTTTTGCTCATGTCCACATCAGCATCACGATCATCGTCGGTATAGATGAGTTTTGGGAAGATCGCTTTCTTAATCAGATAACATGATGAGATAAATGGAACGTTCCATAAACCACTATTCCAAGCCGGAGGAAAAAGAATCGATTCAATTTCTGTGATATTCTTTTTGAAAATATTTGCATAATAAAAACTTACCGAATTTCATTTTCAACAATTTTCATGTAATCATGCGATTGTGCATATTGACTGTTCTCATCTAATGCTTCCCAGAAATTGCTCCACGTCGAATCATTATGACGCGTCATCATCGGTGCAATTACATTACTATCAAATATGAAATTACTTAGCAAACAATTGTTCAACTTGAAAATTTATTTTCTAGCCTTCTTCACTCACCGATTCTGTTCGATTAATCGAATCAGAGTAGATGGATTATCTATATGCGCTTCGGCATCAACAACAAATAAGTAATCGCTTCCTTCACTTTCCGCATAGCTCCTGCAATCAATAAAATGTAATAATAATCATCTTGACAGTTTTTTGGATTTCTTCTTATGGAAATGTCAATAATCATCAAATACTAACACTGCTGAATTCCGGGCAGTAACTTCCTTGTACGAATCATTATGTCTGATTTGCTTTGTGCTTGAATATTCATCACCATGAGTTTTAAGGAAGGTTTGCACCAAGTCATCATGATATTGTACCTAAATAGTTCATATTGTTATATTTCAGTTTTTTGTTCATTTTCCAAAACATTTTTACATACATTGTTGTAGATAAACATGTTTAGCTTCTCCTTTGGATAATCCAGTGCTAAAATGGAATCAAAGAACTCTTCGAGGAATGGCGTTGCATTTGGAATGGCTATTGCAATGGTAACTTTTGGCAAGTCTTCTTGTTTCTGAAAGAAATGTCAACATACAAATATTCCTATTCAGCAAATATGTCAATCAAATAGGTTTTAATATCTTACCCGATAGTAGTCCAATTTGTTCTCTTGACAGAGTTGGCATTCATTGTGTTTAAAAGCGCCGGCCACATATCCGCCAAAATTGTTCAACAATACTTTACTTGTTCCATTTCCGTGGATAAAACTTGGTATGGTGTCAGTTTGAATATTTTTAATGAAATATTCGCCATTGGCTTCATTGTATAGCACTTTAACATCAACCGTGGAGTCATCCAAGTTTTGGAAGATTTCCGACTGGTAATCAAGTTTAATTTGTAACTTTTTACGAATGTTCGTGTCCAAGAATGCCTTGGTCAAGTAAAGTTGATCATCATTATTGTTTTCAATTGGAATGCTTAACAATTCATACACATCCGATGCGTAGCCTTAAGAAGGAAAATTTACATTTTCAAATCCGTCTTCGTCTTTTCTCACAATTATTTTCTTAAATTGATAATATAAAATAATGAATATTCAACGAATGTACCCATAAACAGTCCCGAGTTCAAATATTTTGGCAAGTGTTTCGAAACGGTTGGATACAAATGCTCCACAGTTGTATCAGGCCACAGATACTTTTCTGCTCCGAATAAGATACGGGCATCAAATTTCTCGAATTTGTGCACTATGACATCGATAGTGGCAGTGAACAGCACGTCATAACTAGGAGCCATTAAAATCATTTTAATTTTAATTAATTCTCATTTAAAAAGAGATTATTTTAACTAATGTACTGAAAAGTCTCACCTATCAGTAAATAAAATAATTTTCTGGTCGTCATTTTTGTACGGTTCAAGTGCTTCACGTAACAAATTGATTTTGTATCCACCGCCAAGCCATTTTTGATGCATTCCCAATGTTTCCACCTAGATATGCAAAATGAAATAAAATTGAAATTTCATTGAAAAATATATTTTCTCGTATTTTACCTCTGCATTGTAGTAATTGGCCGATCGAATGTATCGTGAATATCCTTCAGTCTCTTCCGACGCTACGGTAAACACTTTCACATCAAATTCTGCGAAAATATAAAAGAAATTTGGTGTTTATTTGTCATATTCCTGAATCCTCGCTACACAACTTGAGTTGTGTCTTATTAAAAAATATTTCGAATTTATACAAATTTTCGCCCGAATTTAAAGAAAGCAGACGATCATCTTATTTATCGGTATAAGTCAGAAGAGAATGGAATTGCGAGTGAACGAGCAAGCATTATTAGAAGTGTAGTATCTTTTCTTTTAACCAAGCAATCCTATTTGCAAAAAAAAAACACACGAACCTTTTGAATAAAATTGGGTGTTCACATTTTTCCGGCATTTACTGCAGTCAACTTTATCAAATTGTTCACAGGTTTTTTCAGTGCCATTGGCATTACCGCTTAAGACTAGCAAAATAATAGAGACGAAGAAACCATATGCAAACATCATTTCACCCGAATCCAAAATCGTAGAGCTCAGTTAATCTTTAAACCACTCGGCTGCTAGTTGAATTATTACTAAAAATAAGTCTGGCTCTATTTCAACGACTATCGATTGCGACCAGTTGCGATTGTCATCGATTTGTTATTTTGGGTGGAATTTGACGACCTTGGAAATAAAGTCTTTCGTAAGACTTTCTACGTAAACACAAAAAATTGTGTTAAAATTACGTTTTTCGTTATAACAAAATACTGGAAGGGAGAAAATAATGGAAGTTTTTCGGCATCGATTTGTGATGTAATAATTGAAAATCAATACAATTCGAAATGTGATTGAATCGATTTTTTTTTCTTGTGTGCACATGCAGAACGCTGGTCGAAACCGCAACACTTTCTCACTTACAATGGAGTCTTTTGTCCACGTCACATGAGTTCATTTCACGTGCAGTAGCGCAATTGGAAAAGCGTCTCTTTTGAATTTTTTAGGCTTATGCAAATTGAAACTTTTTTTCTACAGAAGCCACGATTTGTGAATTAGTTTGAACTTTTAACTGGGGCTAATACTTTTGGTCTAAAAATAAAATATACAACTCATGATGGCTAAGTGATAGTTGAACAATTGACCTGAAAATTTCATCAATAATTTATCAAATGAGTGAGAAAATGTTGTGGATAAATTAAAATTTATTGATATTCATACACACAAAACAAACTTTTCCAAATTTAAGAATTTTTTTTTCTTAAATTTGGAAAAAACTTTCCTTAATTTCTTTTATTTTATATGGTAGACTTCAGAATTAAGACTATTTTCTTCGTATTCCATATCCAAGAAAAAAAAAATCTAAAATTTGGAAAAGTTTGTTTTGTGTGTAAATAAAAATTAGGTTAATCATCATGGCTGAATGACTTTTCAGTCGATCTATTCGATCAATGTTCTCGAAAACATTGTTTTTTTGCTTGTTGAAAAATGAATTATTTTATTTCGACATTTTTTCTTTATCTTCCAAATTCGTACGTGTGCGTTTGTAGAACAACTTCAATTAAGTAGCACTTTCGTATATTCCAAAATAAGTCCAACAAAACTTTTCTTGTGTGAAGCCATAAATGGCATTTTTGTTGCCTACAAAAATTCACATGTGCTCTATTCTTGCTGGTTGAATCCGTATTTGTGCGTTTAAGTCGATGATAATTGAATTACTTGATATAGATGTTCAGTCGTGGTAGAAACGAAAAATCAAAAAGGCCATAATTTCAGTTGGAATTGGTCTACCAAATGACAGTCTTCTTTCAGTTTAGCTAGTGATCACGTTAAAAAATAGTGTAAAAATGGCACCAAAAGAGGATCCAGAAATTACTGCACTTAAAAAGGAACTTGATGATTTAATTGCGAAATTTAAGGTGGGATTTTTTAAAAGAAAATATTACATTAAATAATTAATTCGCAAAATATTTCTTTAATAAAAAAAGGAAGAACAAAAGAAAGTCGCCGATTGTACCATAGCGGATAAGTGTGGCGATTTGGCTGCTGTTCCAAAGGTTCCATTGACAACAAAACGCTCACTAAAAGGACACATCAATAAAGTGAATTCAGTTCATTATTCAGATGATTCGAGGTAACGATTCGTCACAAACCGAACCAGCTGTTCTGGTAGAAAAGTGAACTTAAATGACTTCTTTGTTGCAGACATTGCGTTTCTGGTTCACTCGATGGAAAACTCATCATTTGGGACACTTGGACTGGAAATAAGATTCAGGTGAATTCATTAAGATTCCAGTTTAGTTTTGAGATATTTAGAAAAAAATTCTCAAAATTAAATTTAAAAAAAAAAATCGAATTCAATAGGTAATTCCGCTGCGATCGGCCTGGGTAATGAGTGTGGCGTATGCCGCATCTGGAAATTTTGTTGGTGAGTAAAATTGTGAAAATCAATAAGTCGAGCCGTTGTAATTTGATTTGAGTAAAGCGATTAGTGTCGAAATGGCGTTTTGTGTGTAAATCGTATTTACCGTGTGTTCTATTTCTTCCACCAATAAATGTGTCACGCTCTGAAATCTGTTACACTTTTTACATGAAAACAACGTATATAGCTTGTGGTGGAATGGATAACATGTGTACGGTGTACGATGTAAATAATCGTGATTCAAGTGGCGCAGCGAAAATTGTGCGGGAATTGGCTGGCTATGAAGGATTTTTGAGCTCATGCCGTTTCCTCGACGATACACACATTGTCACTGGCTCTGGTGATATGAAGATCATGGTATGGGATTTGGAGGCTGGCAAGAAAACAGTCGAAATGGATGGACATGAGGGAGATGTGGTATGAAAATGCTGACCAATCGAAACAGAAACTATGGATTTAAGTTTATTTTCTTTTTCTTAGGTTTCAATCTCTTTGTCGCCAGACAAAAAGACTTTTGTTACTGGTTCAGTTGACAAAACGGCCAAACTTTGGGATCTTCGTGAAAATAAGCCAAAGCAAACATTCTTCGGTCATACTGCTGATGTTAATAGTGTATTTGTAAGCTGCCATTTGCGAATGATTCACAGAGATACAACAAAAAGTAATGATTGAAATGTCTTTTCCAGTATCATCCAAGTGGTCAAGCATTTGCCTCGGCCTCGGAGGATAAGACCTCAAGAATGTTTGATATTCGTTCGGACCAACAAGTTGCCAACTATGCTCCACAGAATCCAAACAGTGGTTTCACTTCTTGTGGTAAATATAATTCAAAAAATCTTCTTTTTTACGTTATTTTTACTTTTTTTTTAAATTACCATTTGAAATACTTAATTATGATCTCATTTTTCCAACAGCTCTGTCTTTCAGTGGCCGATATTTGTTCTGCGGAGCAGATGATAATAGTATTTATGCTTGGGATACATTGAAAACTACTGCTGCTGGTAAGCAAACGTGTTTTGTCAATTTGCTCAACAAATTGTTCGGATTCGCTTATGGAAAGAGAACGAAAGAGAAAGAGAGTAATCAATAAAAAAATTTATAGGTTCGCTAAATGGCCATGAAAATCGTGTGACATCCCTTACCATTGCACCGAATGGCATGGCTTTGGTTTCATGCAGCTGGGATCAGTATGTCCGTGTGTGGGGTTGAATGTACTCTCCGTGCCCATTGCTGCTGTTCCATTTTCAATAATTTGATTAGCTTTCATATTTCTAATACGACAATTATTTTGCTTCCAATTCAACTTTTTACCACAGAAATGAAGAAAAGAAAAAGATTATTTAATATTTATTATTAGCCTCACAAAGTATTAAACGACTGCACCCAATGTATTTCACTTAAAAATGAAAATATTTGGAAAACAACATATCTTCAATAAATAAACTATTTTAGATTTTAAAAGTCGGTTTTCAGCACTATTACTGCAATTTACCTTTAATATGTAATGATTTGAAAATGTGGACGTGCGTGGAGTGTCACGCTCACGCCGAACTAAAACTGACAGTTCGATGAAAACGTGTGTTTGTAGTTGTGTGAACTGATTTATTCAGCATGAGGAACTGTCAAGTATTTTCAGTGGATTAAGGTTAGAATTATTGAACGGAGGAATATTCGTACGGAAAACGAGGATTTCACAAGTTTTGTAGCGGTAGGTTTTAAAAAACTGTACATGTTTTTCATTCAAATATGAAATTTGTTGATGATTTTTGCTAAAATAAAGTGCCCTGTGCAATTGTGAAGGATTTTATTTGAAAATACATTTGCCAGTGTTTTCAGTGACTTCAGTCTGATTCAATTTCTACTGATATTACGAAACACCGGCGAATGTTATCAGTTTTTCCGAATTATTCTTGAAATTTCCTCATTAAACAGTTGATCTTCATATTTCCAATGGTTCCAATACTGAAACTTACAATTTTCGCATAGTTCAAACATAGGACACCCGCAACAAATTAGAAAACATGGATTTGCAAGCACCTTTGGGAAATTTGTCGTCCACACAGAAGGACCAATTGATGACCGAAGTTCGACAACAAATCGCTGTTGCCAATGCACAAGAATTAGTAACAGTAAGTACAATCACAAATGTCACATGACACGAAAAAAAAAAACAAAAATCTCAACCCAAAACTGTTTCATTTATTACAGAAAATCACAGAAAAATGCTTTAAAAAGTGTGTAACAAAGCCAGGCACGAGTCTGGGTGGCTCTGAACAAAAATGTATCGCCATGTGCATGGATCGTTTTATGGACTCTTGGAATTTAGTGTCTAGAACGTATGTGCGAAGGATACAACGTGAACAAGGAGGTGGTGGTTTCTAAATGGCACCAGTGTATAGGAATAAACTCGACGAAAAGCCAATTGCAATTGGAGTTTAATATGGAACGAAGGAAAAATTCGTTTCTCCAGCATTTGTTAAATCACTGTATTTTACTCTGTAGAAAGTAATGGGATGTTCTAGAAAATAAAGACCGTCACGTAATATCGAACAGATGTGGACTTTTTGTTTGTTTGTTTCATGAAATGTGTATCCGAAAAGTAAATACCATGACCATGGTGGATATACCAAACCCTTCAAAAGCTATCCGATGTACATCAAGTTGGTTGAGTTGATGGCTACAATGAAAACACCACAAATGTTTACTTGGATAAAATATGATCTTTATTATTGGAATTATTTTTTCTCAAAAGACACAAAATTATTGATCTCTTCAAATATTTAGTATATAATATATTTTCTTCTGGGAATTGAATCTAAAATTAATATTTCAGAGGGAAAACATTTTGAGCTTAGTTGTCAAAATTCGAAATATGTCTATAAAATTTCATTTCGTAAATATTATCGCTAAAATTCATGCAACAACATTTCGGTTTTGCTTTCAATATTTTAAGACAATAAAATTGATTCCGTCACTTGAATTTGTTATTAATTTAATTATTCTGATCGCCTGCCAAATCTTATTCGATACTACAAAATACATGGAACAAAAGAAGATTAGCAATTTTATACTCCTTATTATCATACAGTAAGTACGTGTGCCGCTTAGTGGAATGCAATGTTACCTATTACATTATATTCTAACCTATCAATATAATAGTTTTTTTTTATAATAATATTTTAAATCTATATTTATTTAAAACAAAATAAACGGATTTTCCTTTCAACGGTTTGATTTGAAATTCATTTGAATTCGACATTGGGAAATAAATCGTTGTTCGTTCATTCCTTGGAGAAATTTGGAATTCTTTTCCCAATAATTGATTATAAATTGTTGCTCGAGCTATGGTAATCCATTTGCTATCGAAAAACTCTTTCTTACGTGATCTCTTTGATATTTGAGGCTGTGAGAATGAAAATAGCAATACAGGAATAAACATTCTGAAGCGCATCAAGAAAAAAAAATTCGCAAAAGTGAATCATGAGTTCTGAATACGCAAAAATGAACCATGAACCTCCTATGCTGCCCATGTAAATTCATGTTTCACTTTTGCATATTCAGAACTCATGATTCACTTTTGCGATTTTTTTTTCTTGATGCGTTTCAGAATGTTTATTCCTGTATTGCCATTTTCATTCTCACAGCCTCATTTGTCCAACCGTTTTTATTTTTATTCACGTGAAAATTGAATGCGCTTTCAATGTCGAAGTATATTGGCACAAACGTATATCGTGACTAGTTCATTCATTCTACTTGTTGCGTTCACCATCAGTACAGGAAAACCTCAAAGAAATCACATAAAGGAGAAGATTTTACATATTTTTATATCGCCACGGATCACCACTTTAGCAACGATGACATACGGTTGATTTTTATTGCAAGTTTCATTTAGATTCTGCAGAATGGGAGCGGTCATTTTATTATATATGATCTGCCACTCATTTAAATGTTTTAATTAGCAAAAATATTTACAAGAATGTTTTGTTTTCTCTATAAAATGGCTTGTTTGTTTTCTCGTTCTATCCATTTCGTCATTGAACCATTTCATCATTTCCAATGGTCTTTGTAATCCATTTCAAAAGCGATGAAGTCAATTCGGAATAAACAGCTGGAAGTGCATGTCGTCGACAGTCATTTCGATAGCTGAGTATACCCTTCAATTGCCAAGATGCCCGTGAGCTGGAATAGCACAGCAGTGGAGCTCCTTCATCGGTCTGTGGAGAAATGTTGGAGATGTTATTTGGTTTTTTCTTCATTAAATACCATTTTTGAACATAAATAAAGGTGAACACCTACATTTATTTGGCATTTTTCATCATTATCATTATTCTCCATACAAATGAGGTCATCTGGCAAAGAGCCTGCATAGTTTGCAGTCGAATTACAACTCTCTGTCGAAAGTGGTGTTGCACTTAGGTTCTTGATGTAATGTTTTCTTCTTGATTCTCCTAAAGAAAATTCGATCAATTAGCCATTTTATGGATGGGTTATTCCCTTTATGAGCTAAATTTCACAAGTACCTTCTTCTGAGAACCATCCAGCTGAAATACAGCTTTCAACATCATCGTTGATTGGTTCATTACTTAAGCAAGCGGCTGTTACTGACTCGCCAAATTCGATTGGTGCGTCTAGTTCCAACAATACAACATCTCCCGAATACAAGAAATGCTTGGATTTTGTCTGTTGAATGATAACAAACATTTTGATTGGCAAATCTTTTTTTTATATTTAAAACAAGTTAACTACTATAAGTATGTAAAATAAATTTTTACCTGTGGATATTTGAAGATGCGTGCGACATTCACTTGTTGCAGTTCTGTGCTCTCATGTTCATCATCATAATTGGATCCATTTACTTGAAGGTACCAACTTAGTGTTTTTTCAACTTCACTTGTCAATTCAAATTTCCCTAATATGCAAGAGTAGCTGGCCAATGCATGTCGTGGACTTACTGTAAATGCAAATATTTTTGATTAAATTTCGATACCGACTTTTAAATCGTTTAGATTTTGATTAAAAATCGTCTGCTTACCTATTGTTGCAGTGCACCGTACATTCGATATTTCATTGACTGCTAGTGCTAGTGATGGCCATGTCTGATTTTTACTGCCAGCATCTTTATCACGTGTTAAATTATTTCCACAAGCTGAAATACAAACACTTCATTAGCGCACATTCTTACGGCTAAAATTCTTATTCACTTACTGTATTTTTCACATTCCAGTGCGACAATTTTGTCGTCAGTACATGAGTCAGTTTCATTCATATTGCTTAGCATGGAGTTTCCTTGTTGAAATTCGTCGTTGATCACAAGCAATGATTTGTTTGTGGTGTCTATTTGAACCGATGTGTAATCCATCGAACGAGCGAATCCAAAGTTCTTACAAATCATGTCAGCGTAGTTCAAATTCCAGTTGTCGTAGCATACAAAAGCGAATTTTCCATTTGGTTTTTTAATTTGTAAAGCATTTGCATTTGTTTCGGGTGCAGTGTCGATGTCATCCATCATCGGATTTGTGATGTTGCCAACGCTTCTTTGAACGGTTGTTATATTGAAGCAGTCCCAATCATCGGATAAGTCGGCACATTGAGGTTGTCCATCGCACACATAGTGATGTGGGACACAACGGCCGGTGTTGCATTTGAAATGATCCTCTGGACAATCACACAAACGCTCATCTTCACCACCGATACAGTCGACTTTGCCATCGCACACGAATGTCTCTGGAATGCATTTTTGTTGCCATGAACAGAAGAATTCATTATTTTTGCAAGTATCCGGGCAATTGGTTTCATCGGCTTGATTGCTACAGTGTGTAATTCCGTCACACTGTAAAATGGCTGGTAAACATGGTCCCTTTTCACCGCAGGCGATTTCATCGAATTTACACTTCCAATCGTTGCACAGTGCATCCGATTCATCGCTACCATCGTGACAGTGCACGATCTTATCACAAACCAGCGATCGTGCCAAACATGAACCGTCATTACATTGGAAATGGCCTGGACAATGTTTCATTTCACAATCGGCTTCATCTGAGGAATCGCTGCAATCTGGATTGGAATCGCATCGTTGGCTCAAACTGATACAGGAACTACCGTCGGTGATTGATGTCCCGTTTAGACACTCAAACTGGCCGGCTGTGCAACGTGTATATCCAAAAGTGGATGGTGGTGTTGATGCTATGGAACTTTCATTGACTGGACTAACATGGGAAACTGGTACATTTTCATCATCTTCATTTTTGATGCTTGTTGAGTCATGAAACGAATTCAACGACGAGTTTAACGACGTTTCAACGGATTCATTAATCGGTTGAAACGTCGCTTTCAATAAAAAATGACCGGTAGTCGATTCGGTGGTTTCTTCTCCGTTCATTTTTTTGGTTTCGTCTTCGCTCGTCTTATCATCGTCCGGTTTTCTTGTGGTTTCTAACGGTATCACTTTTAGCGCATCATCGGCGAGCTTTGCTGCCTCAGTGGATGATGGCTCTGCTGCTGGGGTTGTTGTTTCCGATGGGATTGGTTCAGCTGACGGTGTGGTTTCTGATGGAACGGGTTCAGGCGATGGGCTTTTTTCCATTGGCAATGGTTCGGTTGATGATTTCACATCAATCTTTTCGCTGGTTGTTGTTGAAATCTCACTTTTGGTCAAATCAGCACTTTTCGATGAGTCAGATTCCGATTGTGTTAATGCAGGAGTACTATTTTCCGATTCACTTGCCGATATCGATGGCTCAGCAGTTGGACTTACTTCGTCGGATTGTTCATTTGCTGGTGAGATTTTCGTTTCAGTTTCATTGCTTCCAACTACGGTCGAGACAGTTTGTTCGACTGAAACCGTTGTCGAGTCGATTTTTGCGCTTGAACTTTCCAATGGCAAAACGGTGGTTTCCTTTTCATCATTGACAGGAATCGACGGTTCTGCTGATGGGCTAATTTCAACGATCTTTTCACTTGAAGTTGCAACACTTTCACTGGTTGACGATACAAGTTGTTCCAAATGTTCGGTACTTGATGCCTGCTCCTCCTCCGATTCACTTGGAATAGCCTCAATGTCCTTGTTCAAATGTCTTGCTTCTACCAAGGTGGTTTCATCTAAGCGCTCGGTGCTGCTCTCAATGGTGCTACTTGAAACGGGCAAAATCGATGATGAAGCAATCCCATTTCCAGCGGATTTATCCTCTTGCAACGACAACAAATCGGATTCGGTCATTTCTTCCATTTCGGTGCTGTCTTCGTCGTCACTTTTCGAGAATGGTATGACGGTTGTTGGAACTGCACCACCTTCAGTGTGATGGCTAAATTCCAACGTTTCTTCGGATTGATTTTCGATCGCTTTTATGTTATCATGGTTGTGGGTGCGTGACTCTTGCAAATGATAAATTTCCGTGCTGTCCGAAGGAATTTCGGTCTTTTCTTCACTTGCTTCAATTTCTTTCAAAGCAGTGGTGGAATTTTGTGCGACAACTGTTGCACCTTCGAGTTTGTATGTTTTCTGAGGAATAATCTCGGGTCCGGATATGAAATTGGCATTGTCATTCTCTGATGATTCTTCTTCAATGTCTAGTGTCTTTGCCTTTGCTTCCTCATCGTCATGTGTTGTACCTCTCAAAATATGACTTGACGTCAGAATGTTAAGCGGTGAATCTCCGTTTTCGTTTTCAGGCAAGAATGGCGATTGTTCCAGAATATTTTCCGTTACCGAGTACATTGGACTTTCGCTCGTTGGTGCAAGACGTACAGTTGGTTGTGCGCTGGTGGTTTCATGCTCTAACTTGATTGGTGCAGTGGTTGAATAAACTGTTGGCGATGTTAGGTTGATGCTTGACGGTGTTACTGTACCATCCATCACATTGACTTCCGTGCGCTGTTCAACGGTTTTGGTGACTTTCTTGAAGTAATTTTCAGTTGGCAATGGAGTGTCATCGCTCAAATCCTCTGTAACCGGAGCTGGTTGTTCGCTAGCTGATCGCAAAGTGGATCCTTCGGCAGCCGAATGTCCATGTTGTTCGGATGAAATTTCTACTTTCTCGTTCGTGTCATCTGAATGTGAAGTAGCATCAAAATCATATGTGTACTTTTGCTTTCGAGTCGTTGATTCGGTATGTCCGTTCAATGAAATGGTTGTTCCCTCCAGATCAGAGCTCAAGTCTTTTTCTTCGGATAACGGTTCTTCATCGTAGTTCAATTCCTTTCCGTTTTTATTGTTTTTCTTTGAGCTTGGCTCAGCTGTTGAATCTTCTTCTGCAATAATATCTGGGCTGGGCTCAACTTTTGAGATCGGTTCCGATGTTACGTGTTCAATGTCCTCTGATTTGTGCTCAACATCGGAGTGCTTAGGTGATGGCTCAGCGATGGTTGGCTCTGGTTCGACTGCACTTGGTTCACCTTCCGGCTTTGGTTCGGCATCAGCGGTCGGTTCACTCTTTGAAATCGGTTCCGATGTGGCTTCAACTTCAATTTGCTTAGCTGATGGCTCGGCAGTGGCTGGCTCGGCTTCCACCTATCAGAATTAAAAAAGTTTACTTGTTAAATCATTGAAAAAAGTCTTTTGATTCAATTGAAATTGCGTATTCATGGATTTTTTGTTTTTTCATTGCAAGAAACTGATTAATGTATGATGAAAATGATTACCTCAGCATTTGGTTCACCTTCCGGCTTTGGTTCGGCATCAGCGGTCGGCTCACCTTCAGCACTCGGCTCGCTCTTTGAAATCGGCTCCGATGTTACATGTTCGATATCACCTTCAACTTGTTTCGACGATGGCTCGGCTGTAGCCGGCTCAGGTTCCACCTGTGAACATAACAAGTTCGAATAATTGAAAATGTGTTTTCGGGATATGGAAAAATTCAAGAATGAAAATTTCTTGATTCCAAGCAAACAACTAGATTAAAAAAGAATGAACAATTCAACACAGAATTATTTGAATGGAGAGTGTCCATTGTTTTGAATCCCATGCCGCATGTAAGACAAAGAATAGAAATAGAATTTCGAAAAAACAAATTGGATGGTTAATGTGTGCTGTACGACTGTATTCTCGATATAGACACAAATCATTCTCATTATATCTTTAATCAATTCCTTCGTTCGATAACTTTTGGTTCATTTCAATGAATGGGCATCGGTTTCTGTTGCTTGATTTGGAAGCAACTTTGCAATCGACAATATTTACCTCTACTGTTGGCTCTCCTTCCGGTTTTGGCTCCGCATCAGCAGTCGGCTCACTTTCAGCACTTGGTTCACCTTCCGGCTTAGGTTCAGCATCAGCGGTTGGCTCACCCTCCGCGCTTGGTTCACTCTTTGAAACGGGCTCCGATGTCACATGTTCGATATCGCCTTCAATTTGTTTGGCTGATGGTTCGGCTGTAGCTGGTTCAGGTTCCACCTGTAGAAATAATAAGTTTGTCCGATTGAAAATGTGTTTTCGAAACATGATAAATTTCAAAAATAAAAATGTCTTGATTTCAAGCAAATAACTTGATTGGAAAAGAATAAACATTTCAATATAGAATATCGTCAATTCACCTCTGAACTTGGTTCGCCTTCCGGTTTGGGTTCAGATTCAGCCGTTGGTTCGCCTTCGGGGCTTGGCTCAGCCTGTTAATTAGTAGAGAAAGAGAGAACATGAGCAAATCGGAACGAATTATCCCAAGCTCGACTCCACACTTAGCTTCTAAATGTGACACCGTAGTAAGTGCGGGCATACGTTTTGCGAAAAAGCGACGAAGATAATGAAAACAAGTGCGCATGTGGTAGTGAGTAGCCTGATGCGATGCTTCTCAATGTAGCATCTTGTTTCCATTCTCTTTGTCGCTTATTCGCAAAACGTATGCCCACACTTACTACGGTGTCACATTTAGAAGCTAAGTGTGGAGTCGCGCTTGGGATGGGAGAATAATGCATAATTTCGAACACAAATTACCTCCGACTTTGGTTCAGGTTCCGATGATGAAGGTGCACTTTCTGGTTCCGGTGATGAAGGTGAACTTTCCGGTTCCGGCTCAGCTCTAGTTTCTGGCTCAGGTTCAGCGTTGCTTTCCGATTCGGACTTTCTGCAAACGAAGTCAGCTGATTGACGGTCAAACTCGCATCCATTTTCACAGCTGTTTCAGAATTGAAAGAAACATTATTCGATTCGTTCCACGAAAAACCAATTAATTTGATTACGAATCAAACTTACTGCATTTCACTTGTTTGCATAGCACATGAATCGATCACTTTGGTATACGAGAGCGTTTCGATTGGAACAAAGTAGCTAAAGATGTAGTTGCTATTCTCTTTCAGATAATTTGATAGATTATCCTTCAACGTGTCTTCTGTTATGTCTTCATCGTCGTCCCACGTAACTCGATAGTCGACAACAATTGAACCCGATCTATTTTTAAAATGATTTATTCGTTCATTAACATGACTGTTTCTCTCTCTCTCTCTCTCTCTTTAGTAGCATCCATTTCATCAATTTGAACTTACGTCAAATTAAGAACTCGAACATGAACATTTTTGTAATCCTTCATCGATTCCATTACTCCATTTTCAATTTCACCGGCTATTGTGTGATAGATTGGGCTATCATGATCTTTGTATTCTTCCAAGAATTCAGTGTTTTCGATTTTGAATTTTCCATCGGCAGAGTTAGGTACTTTAAACGAAATGAAATGAATGAAGTTAGTCAGGTTGATCAATCATAATCGGAAAGTGTCAGACAACGTACCATAAATCATATTTTCATCGGTGGTCGGCGGATGTGGAGGAACTGTGGATCCAGGAGGCTGCGGCGTTGTCGGGTATTCTGTATCGTTTTGTTTACCTTTGCTTCCACTACCAAATATTCCGGCCGTTGCTAACTTATCCTTAGTGCCGAATTGTCTTGATTCAATTGGTTCTGGTTCACTGCCAATTGTTCCAGCTAAACATTCGAAATTTTATTAAAAAATTTACTCAATTTGAATATTTATGAACGAAATAATTTCCAGAACTCACTTGCTAATAAAATGGCGACAATTAGCACAGCTGCACACAGTGCTAAACCTATTACCCACAGTATCCGTTTGCGCCAATTCGTTTTGAGGCGTTTATCTTTAGTGACATACAATTTTTCTCCTCTGTAAAATAAAACACCGTAAAATGAGAAACCATTAAAATTCGTTGATGGAATAATATTTACAAATGAAATTGATTGATTTTTCTGCTAATTAAGTAGAATGTTCTGAAAAAAAAGCAATCAATGATTCGATGAAAATATTCAAAATGACACCAAATGCAGTTTGATGAATGAACAACAAAAAAATCAATCAAAATCATCTTCAAAAGCGATTAAAACAAAGGTCACCAACAAATGAATTAAATGGTTCGTTTTGTACGTCAGGTCAGCTGTTACCTAGAGTAGTTTTTGTTTTGTTTAGTTAAAAGCGGAATGGATTCGAAAATCCCGTTAAATGTCCGTAACCAAAGGAATTTCTTGAATTTTGATGTTCGTCCAAAAAGCAATTAGATTCAAAAGCCAAACGATTGAAATTTTAACGTCCAAAATGTGGTCAGAAGGCAAATTTAGTGGTAAAGATAAATGATTCAGTGTGATTGTCGGCATAAAAAAAGATTTGATTTTTCTGAGAAGTTCCCGTCCAAAAATGAAATCATAAGCACCCAGAAAATAAAGGCTCGATACGAAAAATAAGCAACCGACCCATTCAAAAGCATGCTTCAGTCGGAGAAGAATTAATTAGAATGCATGAAATGACAGAAAACCCAACAAAGGAAGAAAAAGTCATATTTTTGGTCAGAATAGGATCCAGTGGAATGAGACAGCACGAAGGATGCATTAAAAAGGCAACATGCGATAAAAAAAAAACACTCAACGAAAACTGAAGATACCTCGCGATTTTTCGCCAACTACTATAATCCACAATGCCTTCAATGGGCTCATTCAAAGAATGTCCATAATGATCTACGCCACGTATACCACGCTCTCTATCAAAAGAAACACAGACTAAACGGTCAGTTTGGTTAAAAAAAAACATACAGAGGCAAACAAACGGTCAGTGAGTCAGTCAGTATGTGGTGTGTGTGTGTATTTTTGTTTTTCATTGTTGTTGTTTGTCCGAAAAAAAGTACAGATAATAAGTAAAAGCAATAGAAATGATTCATAGCAATTTAGGCGTAAAAGCGATGAAAAAGATTCAAATGAAAAATGAAGAATTGCTTTTTATTTCGTATGCGTAAGTGTGTGTGAGAGAGAGATTGAGTCGTGGGTCTGATCTGTCCGTCTGGATTCTATACCCAATCATCGTTAGAACAAAGACAAGAAAAAGGATGGGAATTTGTTGAAACTACCTCATATATTTCTTGTGCTCGTTCACCGGCACAAAGTATTCATTGTATGAATTGCCGATTTCAACTTGTGTTGCGTCTTTCTTCTTCGCCGGGATGCCATTGTCGCGATGCCCATTTGTTGTGGGCGTTTTGTTAAGATTTACTAATTCTAAATTCACAGCTTCTGTAAAGAGATATTCAAGAGAATCAATGGAAAATGATAGATAAAAGCGAATAATGTGATTGAGTGGCGCATGTACAGGCTAATGGTTTATCCATACCGTTTTTACCATTGGTGGCCGGCTCTTTAATTTTGCCATTTCCATTTTGACCAAACGAACTCATTGGTCGCTGCTGACTAGTTTTATGCTCATTTTCAAATGCTAAATTATCCACACCACTTGGACTGGGGTTTTGCTTTGGTGCTAACACCGCATGGTCGTCATCGGTTGAATTTGAAATCTCATCGGTCGTTGACTGGATGGAGCGCGGCGATGGCGTTGGTGTGGTTACACTTGGTGGGGTTTTTATTTGAATTTGATCTTCAGAATCGCCGCCAACAGAAATTGTGATTTCATGTCGATACGGCGCTGCAGCGGCAGCAGTATGGTCGGTTTGATCACTCATTATTAAAAATGATCTAAACGCTCGGTTATACGAATACTAAAAGGAAAACCGGAAGAAAAAATCTTATTAAAAAATGGACTTTCTTTGAACTATCAACTAAATACCATTTTGTGTATCGCAATGATAAAATACAAAAAGAACTAAACAAACGAGTGAATGTTTGGCTTGACGAACATTTTATTACTTTCCACAAAAAAACAGTGACAAACGTTAGCTGCTATGCAACGACCAAACGAAACAAAATAAAATCGAAAATCCCTTCTCTTCCTTTTCGATTTATTTCTTTTTTTACTATTGTGTGACAATGCATTGATACCGGGAAGAAAAAACGCCGTACAATGCACATGTGGAAAATGACGCCCCCATTCGAAATCATGCGAAATTATCGTTCAGTCACATTCGCTTTGTCAATAAAATATTTATGGGGTACGTTGTGCATACGGCGAACAGCAAGCAGTTTTACCTGTCCACTGAATATTTTTATAGTAGGTAGAAAACTAATCGCTCACAGCATATATGTATGCGCAACGGAAATATTTGTTATTTCATCGTTATGTTTCCCCTCTGTGCGTTTTGTTTTTTCTCGCTCCCAACATTTGCTCGCGTTGAAAGACTTCGGATTCGTGTTTTGTGTCAAAACAAAGCGAAGCTCCTTCTGTGGTTGAGTGACAAGCGCACATTATTGACTTGAGATTGAGTTGATGAGACCTTCACCGCTCTATCGAAATCAATGTCCAATGGAACATGATGCAAAGTATTTATGATGAAGAAAATCAGGGTTCATTTAAACACGCAAACTGTCCGATAGAGCAAAACAAACAACTATCTAATAGGTGTCACATCATGCATCTCCAAATGGTTGAAGGAAAAATCCAGTGAATTTTAATTTAATTACCGGTCTGTCTTTATTTTTATGTTCAATAAACCCATTAGAATATACAAGCGCTGCCTAATTCGCATGAAAATGATGTTGCTCATTACCGCTCTTTCACTCGGTTTTTGAAGCTATGGACAAATACTGCAATCCATCATTTACAACGTACATTTTAACTGTCGTTTTTCTTTCACGATTGCAAATCGCATTGAAGCAGCAGTAGCAGCAGCAGCAGGTCTGGTAATTTATTCGCGTTGAGCTGCTTGCGTTTCGCACAAATTGGTATCGCTTTAATTGAAAGATAAATTGTCATTTATGGATCTCAATTATTTGCATTTGCCGTACACGCTGCAGTGTGTTTGCCCGGTTTATACGTCCAATTTTCACTCGTTTCTCGTTCGCGACAAGTGTAATTGCTGATTTTGTTATTGGTAATCGTTGGCCGGGTGTTTTGCGCAGCGCACACACTCTCGTGTCTGCCACTTTCTCTTACAAAACATTTCAACAGCCCTATTGCAATGCCATAATTGATTATGTTGGCATATTCTAGACGACTTTTGCATCGATGATAATAAAAACAACCATCAACAATTGGCAAATCAACTGGTTTGTTTGCACAGTTTTCAGCGCGAAAAAAAAATATCTTTTATTTTTGCAATCATCTTTCAATTTCTTCAAGAAAAATTAATTTCGCTTGTTCATTTTAACGCAACGTAATTAAAAATCCATCGAATTTTAATCGGAAACAAATTGAAATGGTATTGTTCCGTTTGACCAGACAAATCATCATTCATTGATTCACTCACGTTGAGTAGATCATTTATTTCAATGAGTCGTCTGATTAATCAAAAGAAACGTAACATTGATAACTGTCCTTTTGATTGCAATTAAAATTTCAAAGACGTTTTTAAACATGCGCCATAAAATTACCTTAAATGAGTTCAGTAAAAATAGCCATCAATTTGATTATAACAACACAAAGCGTACAATCGCCAAAGGAGACGGCAAATTTATAGACACATATCACTCGCATTTTGAATTTATTGATGCAAGCAAACAAAAAACAGTGACTGAATCAATACCCGCAATGAATGTGAACAGTTAATTGCACTTAATGTCTATCATTTATTTTGTGTGTCTACAATTCCCAATAGATCATGCCCTGTGATTCATGTAGACCTACCGAACTGACAGCAATAACATTTGTTATTACACTTTAAATAAGATTGTACGCGGTGCGAATTATGTTTTGGACATTCATTTGACTTTGTTAATAGCTTGTAATGTGAACGGAAGCAAATAAAACATAACTTGGCTTTTTTTCCCCACTCTGTGTAAGTGCCTCGTTTTCCGCGTGTGCGGAGGTCAGTGATCAACATCACGCCGCCATTCGTCATTGCCCAACTGAAATTGTTTCAACAGCTTATGAGTTGCAGGAAAGTAAGATCGTTATGCGGTGGGCTTTCAGTTTGAGTCATTGTCAAAATCTCAAGAATATCTCTCGGATGAAAAATCAAACTAATGTCTTTGATAAAAACGGTTAAGCACACAAATTGAATTAAGTTCGTGATCAATGACATCAAATTCACAAAGAGAATGAGCATAAGGGACAAGGCCAAAATCTACAATTCACCGAATATCGACCGCAATCAATTGTTTAATTGACCAAACCAAAATCATATTCAGAAGTCAAAGAACTCAACGGGTATGTGTATTTGCATAAAATCCTATGTTTGTTGAGATTGCAAAATGAGATATTTTTCCATGCATAGCATTTATTTTTTAATTAGAACATTAAAAATCGAAAAGCAAACACATGGATTTCCTCATCGCTTGGCATGTCGGAAAATATTTTTCCTTCTTTTCAAACCATTTTCGACGATTTATCATTAATAATATTAAAATATTCCGGCATCACATAATCAAACACACATATAATTGGTATTTTCAGATTATCAAACCGATTTTGATTATTTTTCGAAAAAATAAACACTTTCTTATCTGATTCGAATGGAGAAATACATGATTTTTATTCGAAAATGCCAGAAACATCACTTTTGAAATGAAATTTGGCTGATGTTGAAATGCTGCGCCAGCATGTGACTGACACCTGAAACAATTTATGTCTCTACGCAGTGTAAAAACTTTACATTTTTCTGCTTGCTGCTCTTTCTCTGTTGGTTCGTTAATCAATGTCTATCTGTTTGACCTTGGTTGCTTTTTACGTAATAGAACCAAAAGCCAATTTGAATTGAAATATACATTTTTTTGGGTATAAAAATCGGATGGGCGCTCATTGAAATTCAAATACTATCTCCTAGAAACTATGTCGGAATTCAATTTCGGTACAACGCTAGAATCTCCAACGACATGATTAAAAATAGCAGCACGCTTAAATTGGCTGGTGTGTTTGTAACCACGCAACAGTGTATCCACAGTCAGGTGAAACATAATTGGCATGAGTATACTATTGAGTCAAACTGATCGATCGATTTTTGAAATATTCGCACCTACATTTTCGGAAGATCGATAAACCATCCATAGTGAACCATTCAAAGTTGAAACTCATGCCTCTTTTTTTCTTGTCTTCGCCTCATTTTAGATGTAATTAATTGTGAAAGTAAATGTTCTGATATATTTTCAATCATGGGTATATATGGAATCCGATCGATCACCATAAATTTTATGATACTTAATATTTCATATTTCCAATTGACAGCTATGAAGCCATGATGATTTTGCGAAATATGAGGAGCAGTTACAACTAGTTTCAAAATTGAGGTGTCGTTATGACTTTCTATTTTGTTGAAAAGAGTAAAAAATTGATCATACTACTTCTTCCGTCATCCGGTAGATGTTGTTGGTTCGCCATATTCGCGTAGTGTGTAATTTTTTTTCGATCGATTTACCGTGTTTTTTCGCTTGCGGCACATCAAAGTCAGACCGCAAAAATGTTCATCATCGCTCCGAATTTTCACTTGCGATTCAATTTCTGGCTTTGGTGCGCTGTGATTCAATCGACCGTGACCTTTAGAAAGGTTTTCAACTGTTCCGACGACGGTAGCATTTGCAAAATGAAAGCATCAGCATTCTATGAGCGTCTCTAGAAGAAATAGCGTCTCGTATTGCATGAAATTTTTAAGTGACATTTAGTTCCGACTATCAGCTCAGTTTTAGAGATGAAGAGAGAAAAAAGAACTGAGTAAATCGTGACTTATTTGCGAAAGAGAGCTGAACGACATCAAACCAAACAATCTGCATGTGGTCAATCACATAATTGTCGCTCAAACAAAGGACCACCGCAGAAAAAATGGCGACATTTAAATGGGTTCGATCTTCAGATATAATTGGATGAGACTTTCAAAACCGAATTCTCAAAACTGTGTTCAAAAGAAAAATAACGAATCTTTTTCTTTGCTGTCGTACGCCTTACAACGGTCCAATTTCTTTCATTCAAATCATGTACCGTTTCATCCAGCAGCGCGTTTTTTGGAAATCGAAAATTTTATCTGCTCTGATAAACGGGTCGGCTATTCAAATAAATTATCACATATATGTGTATGTCGCATCGTTGGGTTTAAAATTCAACGATTTCTTTCATGCATACATTAAATACTAGATTGATTTTTGATTCACAATAAAATGCAAGCCGAGTTTATATGTGATTTGTGGAGTTTTTATTATTGTTGATGTTGTCGATCTCGCTTCTTTTATGTGAAAATCATTGTGAGATACGTTGACCTGATGCTGTTTTTACGATAGCCGTGTTTCGACATTCAATCCAATAGCAATACAATTCCTATTTCATTCGAACGACGCAATCAAACCATTGTCAATGCGTACCAGCCATTTTCACGGTGCTTTGATTTTCTGGGCGTTGTCACATCTGTGTGTATGTGTATACGATATGCCGTGAACCGGAAAATATTCACATTTAAGCAGCACATCAATTGTCTGTATATAATTAACACTTGAACCCAATTTTTCTTTTTTTTTTGTGTTCGGATTGCAATTTTTTTAAGGTTGGGTTTTTGAAAATAAAAGCAAAATAATACTCACGAAATTTTCCTAAGTACGCATACCAGCTGGTTGAATTGTTTCACTTTAGACCGTGTGTTGTTGTGCTCGATTCTGAAAATATGTTCGATTCTAGTTAGTTGATTGGGCGACATGTAATTAATTTTTTAAATATGAAAAGCTAATTAATAATATTTCGTTTGTATTGAAAATGCTGTCAATTAAGTAAGCTAGTATCACGGTCACCTCGAAACTCAATGATTTTTCTACTGTTTTTCACTCTTTCTTGAGATATCCCACACACATACACGCGACTCTTATGTCATACATTCAAGATAACCCAGTAATTAAAAACACGGTTGCAATTAAAAGACACGAAAACCGTGATTAATATGCGTTAAGGCGAAACGAAATAAAAAAATTTATGAATCAACATGTGTTCATACAACAGCTTGAAACTCAAGTTGAGTGTGTAATAGGTCAAAAACACTTCGTCTGGTGCTTCAAAACTTTAAAAAAGAATGAAGAAAAAAAATGACTGAACGGAATGAAAAAAATTCAGTCCAAAAACTGAAGCCCTTATGAATACGGATGTGAAAGAGTAAGAAACACATCATAAAAGACAAATCAATTGGAAAGTAAATACAATTGCGCGCAAGTATGTACTTCGAGCTTCGGTGTCAAAAACTGATTTTCTTTGTATATCCAGCAATAATTATATTTTGCAAAGTAATTCAACGGCTGCAACAACAACAACAACATAAGAGCTTTTGTATGTTTCGTCTGTCGGCTGCTACTGCTGTTGCTGCTGCACAGCATTTTGAAGTGCAGACAAATGTGTTTTTTTTCGTTGTTTATTTCACATTGAAGTTTCGTCGAGCGTTGCAGCCTGTGTAGAAATTGCAGTCGAAATCAACACCATTTCATTCTACGGTAATAATAATTTGTTCACGAATTACCGAAAGACACATACAGAGAGAGACGAAAACTGAGCGCCCGCCGTCGAAAATAGCAAGCGTAGCAAACAATTGCAATGGCGGCAGCCATGTAAAGCATATAGTATAATAACTTTGTTAAATTGCTGGTCTTTGTTTCAATATTGAGTGTCTGTTTGTGTCTGTGTATTTTTTTCGGTTTGCCGTCTTTGAATACAAGCGATTTCGTCTGTTTTTGATGCATTTATGCCACTGGCTCGGCAGATGTTGGTATGCAATCAGTCTGGCGTTTGCTCATCGCAAATTCTCGTATAAATACGTGTTTTTTTCCCTTTGAAGCGATCAGCGAAATTTCGGTTTTAATTGTAGGTTAAATTGTTTTCTGCAAGACAAGCCTGAGTTGAGGCTTGATATTATTCAATTTCGGCAAACAAGAGCTGCAACATTTCCATATGTGCATTCGTGCACGCGTTTCGTTTGCTTCTGATTCGATTTGATGATTTCAACACCACAAACCGGAGAAACACAAAACAATCTGTTGTTTTTTTTGAGTAAAAACAAAAAAAAATGCATCGCGTAATCAGAGCGCATGAGTTCCGATAACAGTGAAATGCATGGAATTTTTGCTTTGTTACGAATATGCCTTATTACTTAACATGCAGGTTTTTTTTTTAATGGTCAGTCTTGACTGTCTCAATATGGCAGCACATAATAAACAAGAGCGATGAGAAGGTTAATCACAAAGGTCTTGCCGAATGGGAAACTAAATTGCACTTCCGTGACATAAATAAGTGAAAAAGTTCTATCGATTTGAGCTGATACTTGACTACTTTGACGTTTTCCAAAAGAGCGACTATCGTGAGAGTTTCGGTGGCAGCATTCGTATTGTGCAAGACGATTTCCAGCCGACAAGATGGGAGCTATTAATTGAAAACGAAAAAGTGTTTCGACTAATTTCGATGCAATTGTTCGCGCGGATGGAGCAATATATGAAAAACGTGGCACGAATCTACCTCTTTTCCTTACACCGAGAACAATTACTACTTACTAGCTAATAAATCGTTTCTTAATCGAATCATATACGAGAAAAAATTCAATGTGTTTGCACATCACTTTAATGACTTTATTGTAAAATATGCATAGACATTCACCGGGCCTCACGTCGAAACGCTCAGCCCGAAAGAGACGACAAGATAATTAATGAAAGCAATAACAACAAACAAAACAAAAATCAATTGAATCGTACAGTAATTTCATTTCCACATTTTTATTATAGTTTATTAGCGAACTATTTCAACAATAAAAAGAATTTCGCGATTGAAATTACTGCAGCATTAACTGCATTGCTTCGTTTGTTTCATTCTTCTTGGTAGCCATCGTTTACAGCTGTTGAATGTGTTTCGATATTTATTCGAATGATTCGAATATTCGTCATAACTGATTACAGCAGCAGATAAACTAATCACTCGTTTTGTATTGTTAGCAATCACATAATACACCGGCAGAAATCATCAGTTTTGCTTTTCCTCCATTGAATTTGCTGTGTGTACTCAATAATGGAATAAATGCTCTAGTGCGCACATCGCACGTGATACTATTACTTTGCACATTTTAATTTAGCGAAAAAAGAGAGAAGAAAAAACACAGAAACTGACATCGCATTGTTCGCTTTTCAATCTATTGATATTTTTTTTAACAAGACAGCGCAAAACGAGTATGAATTTCTTGTAAGATCGATCTCTATTCTTGTTGTTAACACAAAAAAAACCGATGCGATCAAGTGCATAAACAGAATTGACCCAGTTCTCATCACTCGGAGCCACGGAAAGCAAACTGATCATTTAAAGCAAACTGAATTGAACTGAACTGCAAGCTAAAGTTAAAGTTCATGAAATATATCATTATTTGGATTGGCTTTTTTCCATTAAATAATCAAATCAGCGGAATACGCGAATTTTCCCACAACATTTTATGCCATTGCTTTTTCTCCGTGTGTAAGTTTGGTTCAGGCCGCGCTAGCGTCCTATCTAAATACATTATAATGAATAAGTACAAACTAATACATATGCATTTCTACTATGAATACGTTTCATGCTATGTGTTTTAATTTCATTTAATTTTGGAAATTGAAAAAAAAAATATTTCTCGACAAATCATATTTTAAAACATCATTGCAATAAAAAAAAACTTCCAAGTAAGAATGAATATATTGATATTGAGTAAGAAAATTCGGTGAAATCGGTGAAATACTTGAATCAAACATAAACGTTTGAAAAACGTACGACGCGCGCCAAAGCATAAGTGATGTCAAAGTGTGTACAAAGAGTGAAGCAATAGTGCGTTTAATGCTATGTGCTATAGTGTCTCTGTTGATGTTGATCGCTGACGTTTATAGTGGTAGGTTTGGTTTTTTCTTTGGTGTGCATACAAATGTTCTTCCTCATTCAAATTCGTAAAGCGTATATTTTTGACATCAGCTCGTTGTTTATCACTTTCAAAAATCGTTGGTAATTGCTGAAATTCGTCTGCCAAAAAATGAATGCGCAATTCCTTGTGAAAATCCACTTGCAAAAAAATGTGATTCGTTAATTGTAATGAAAGCTATAATCATATTTCATAAAGGAACCGAGAGAAAAAACGCAACAATGCAGCATATGGAAATCATTGTTTCAACTGCTGATGGGCAGAAATAGTCGTGCCGCATGTATTAACTCAAGGCACAATTAGTGCGCGCCGCGTGATAATCCCCAGTGGTGCCCACAATCGACAGATTGCTCTTCAAAAAAAAAAACAAATTTAAATGCATTAGGTGTGTAGATCACTTAAGCTGTGAGCTCTTGAAACAAAAATGAAACCAAACTCGTTTCAGATTTTTTTTATTATTATTCAAATGAGTTGTGTCTGTGTTGGAAAACACTGATGACAATCTTACATGAGACGAACAAATGGGATGTCGATGCGATGCAAAAAGAAAACAGCAATCGATTTCCACTCGTCGACAAAAGAAGATGCAAAAAATCCAACGTTAAGATCATTCACACTGGATATACCAAATGAATTATTAATGATGCAATGATGACTTTGACGAAGTACTTTTACTGTCAATGCTTTGTGAAATGCTTTTGTCGCATCAAGTGTTTCCATTTTTCGCGCACGTCATAGACAGTTAGTCATAAACAGCGAGACATCGACATGCATGCATCATAGCAATAAGAGAGAGAATATTAGCATTATCAAAGCGAAACGAAAGCATCACGGAGCGTATTTGCTTGATTGCTGGCAGCGGCGGCACGCACAAAATCTTCCATTAAACAAATCCATTCGCATCGTATCTCACTCGGCATGGGCGCATCGTTACACATTCAAATATTTGGCCACAAACAAAACACTTGTTGATTCCATTTCACCATTGAATTGGAAAGGAATGTGAGCTTCGATGTTTGAATAACTTCTTTCATTTTCTTTCTTTTTGTTTTTGCGTATTTGGAATGTAAACATACTAACGCAATTATTTCCATTTTCGGAAATTAAAACAGGCTTTGTATTGACGTTTGCGTCGAAAGTTTTGGAAAAAGGCAAACATTGTTGAATAAAATTAAATCATTCAAAACAAAGCGATGTTTACAATGAGGCGTTTTATAACAACCTTTGTGAGTGCGATTCTTTTTTTTCCTGTGTGTGAATGATGGCGATGAGTTGGTAGAAGTATGCGTTGGATATTTAGCTCATTTGGTGTGCACTTTTCGATATCGAAATGCGTGACGATTGTGAGTTTGGTTTTTGGGACGGCTTTGATTGACCCTGAAACACATTTTCGAACGATAAAATAGATTGCCAATTGAGAGAATGAACACAAAAACGATACACACACACACAATTGACTGAACGCGTGGCTAGCAATGCTAAACTCTATAAATGGGGTATTTTTTAATGCCAAAGCATCATCATGTGATGTGATCGCGGTTTTGATACGGATGAACTTGAACCATTTGTCGACGGAAACCCGTATCTATTCACCTAAACCGATCGAATTCAACGATAGTAGGAGAAAAAAAAGCGAGCCAACAACACACATATACACAAATCGAAACATCTATGAATGCCTTGAGAAACATGATTCGAACCAACAGATTGCATTCTCTAAACTAATGAGTGAAGATTATTCAATTTTGACCATTG